ATCTTCATAAAATGATGACTAGTCATCCGTTTCTCATATGACTAGTCATCCTTGCTTCCAGCTGGATAACAAACTGTTTTGTCCTATTCCTCTTTCTCTCTCTCTGCTGCCATCTGTGGTTTCTGACCTAACGAATTTTTTGGCTGTAAAGGCCACGATTTTGGTCATTTAGCTGCTGTCTCTTTTGCGTGGAAGTTTTGGGGGAAAGATCGTTTTGCTTTCTTTCTCTTCTTCCTCTAGAGAGAACCATTGATTTTCATCTATGAGTTTTTCCAATTTTTGAATCCAAATATTGGTTTCGGTCTGTGTTGGAACTTGCAAGCTTGTGCCATGGGATGAACGAGCTGGAGAAGGAGCTGCCATTGCCATGAAGAACTGAGCTTCAAGTTTTGCTAAGTTGGAGAAGAAGATTGCACAAAGGAGGTATTGCTCATATTCCTAAATAGACCTAGGTGAATCTTGAGCTTGGTTGTGTTTCCTTTGTAAGAATCTTTTTCTACTTAGTGAAGTGCCTGGTCGGTTGATGACTCCTAGTTTTTTCCAATGGTGGGTTTCTGGGTGAACAAAATCTGTTTTGCATATCTGTAATTTTTCTGGGTTTGTGTTCTTGGTGGTTGACTAGTCATCTTTATCTGCTGTTTGATGTTTGCATGATTTTGATGATTTCACACACTTTCACCATAGTTGTTGCTAGCACAGGGGATGCCTAGATTGACGGGTCCTTCTGAGTGCCTAGGTTGTCACTAGTAATCTTTTAGGGTTGCAGGTACATTGTGGCATGATCTGTATGTTCTCTTGATTGTGATTGTTCATGACTAGCAGTTGACTAGTCATATGTGTATTTGGTCAAGGTTTAAAGTGTGTGAAGATTGCTATGTTGTTTTGTCTTGTTTGTGTAATTAAATTTACCATTAGTCACCTAAGTACCAATTTCACTTTGCCATTCCAATGATTCTTATCTACTTATTGCATACTCGAATGCCGATTGGGCAAGGTGTCCAGACACTCGTCGATCAACTATAGGGTTGTGTATCTTTTTGGGACCCAATCTCATATCATGGAGTGCCAAGAAACAATGTACAGTGTCTCAATCTAGCGCCAAAGTCGAATACCGTGCTTTAGGTTATGCAGGGCTGATACTATTTGGATTCAAGGCCTTTTATGTGAACTTCGGTATCCTCTCCCTTGTTCGGTTATTCTTAATTGTGACAATTTTTCAGCTACTTACATGGCAGCTAATCCGGTCTTTCATTCTCACAAATTTTTTTGGTCGCGATTATCATTTTGTTCGCTAAGGCTTTGCCCTTAGAAAGTCAACAAGTTCAATTTATTCCCTCTACACACCAATTGGTTGACGTTTTCGCCAAAGGTTTACCCACGGATTGGTTCAATCGTCTCGTTTCCAAACTTGTCACGTCCCCGGAGTCAAGTTTGCGGGGGAGTGTTAGGTAGTTACATCAGTTACCACCAAATCAATGAGATCAATTCAATGATTTGTAACAGTGTTCAGTTATTAGAAATCCCTGTATAAATATTGTATTCTTGTATCCTTCTCAAATCAGTAAAGATAAACATTTTCTACACTAATCACTGTGACCTTGATTGAATCATAAGAGACGTCTCAGACTCCATGCGACAGCGATCCACAACTCAAACTGCCACTCTGTATTTGCACAGACAAAACCCAGAAATTAAAATAACTGAGAATCAACATAAGCTTCTTCTCTCCACCCTAACCAAAACACTTCATCTTCTTCTAATATTTATTTATCGTGTATGCTTTTTAGTTGACAATAGGAATTGGCTAGCCATACACTTTTATAAGCCTTGCTCCTACAAGAATATGCTTTCTTTTGTACCTATATTCAGAAACAGCGACGAGAAAGGGGAGGGGGAGAAAGATGACTGGGGAGGAAGGGACAGGGATAAACATGTAACCCTAGTTTATTATTATTAAGTTTTTGTTTTTTGGGTTAGAATGGTTAGAAGGATTGTATGAGTATGAATGAGGGTTTAAACTACTAACAACATCTGCCGTTAGATTAATCCAGAGGTTTTTATTAAATAGTTGCTCATAGGACTTTATTTTTAGGTCCTTAGGTGAGCTTGACCTCAATAGATAGTACCTTACGCAGGATTAATGAATTAATGTCATTACATAAGATGTTATGGCAGAAGACAACGAGAACCCAAATTCGACATGGATGATGCAGGACAAAAGAGAAGAAAAACCTACTGCAATCTCAATTCAACAACTTTTGGTGTTCTAAACATGACTGATTCTCTGGTCTAATTCAAAATGTTGAATTATGATGTTGGCTTTGCACGAGTTGCAGGATCTTCCTTTGACTCCACTAGTATCATTACAACATAGCCCAACGTCCACAACAAAATGTATCCAAATGGTACCCACCACAGGCATGCGAGAAGACTTAAAATACTTCCCACATACTGAGGATCTTTTATGTACCCAAATGGAAATTCTGTCACCCAGGGAATGTTCTTCCCAAAACGTACTCCATAATAAGTACCAGACTCGCCGAGCAACTGATAGACCCTAAAAATTGACAGGAAACTAATCAGATATACATATTTGGAACAATCAATTGACCAAAGAGAAACAGAAATAATTAATCTTTACTTGGCAGCTTAAAATCCCTGCTGCTGAACTCTTGGATAGACATAAATTACAGGCTACATTTAATGATTAAGAGATTTCATAGTTCTTTTATACATTCCATGCTATAGCCTCTTACGGTTGAGACAAACTGAGCTTCAAAGAGAGATTTCAAATCAAGGACATTTTCATGGTACTTTAACAACCAACGGAATTAATGAGTCCTTCCTCTCTTTAGGCCTATCTTACTATCAAGGACCCTTGCGCTATTCTCAATATGCTTCCCATTATGCACAGTTCATCTATTTCAACTGTTGCTGATAAATTTCAATTTACTGAACAAACTAGTTTATTAAGAGTAGTAAATGCAGTAATGCCTTAGTATAGCTACCGAGTGGAGTAGGCTGATAGGGGTCACCACTCCCCGTCCAAACTCTTCATCCTCTGTGTTGTCTTGAGCAGCGGGGCGGAATGGATCATCGGAGGGTGGAAATTTCCTCCAATCAGATTTATTCTTCATGGGCAAGATTCTTGCCGCAAGAATAACTTCACAAGATGCTACTCAGTACTCTCTTCTCCTTATCTCCCTCTTTCTTGCATTACCCTACAAGTCTAAACCCGTTTTCTTTGGGATGGGAACTGACAGGGATAACACACAAAATTTGTAATGTGTTCAAGCAGATGTTCATCATGAAGGAACATAATGGTGCATCAACCAAACACCAGTTCTAGCATGTTGATTCTTCTAACCGATGCCTACTAAGGAGAATCATTACACCATCAAGGAAAATCATTTCCCAACCCTCATGAAAATCACTATATCTAACTAGCCATACCAGAACATTTCATTCACATGAATTATATGATTTCACAAATTCAATGAATCTTTCTTCTCTCAGTCAGGATTTTTACACAAAAAGGCCTCCTTTCCCATTAACTAGGATTAGCTGTCTATAGAAGCACAAGAAGAAAGAATGGACTGTAATGTGCCATAACCTTCAAGAAGCATTTGAAAAGGGATGTTGGTAGAAATGATGACGGATCTCACATCACTTTATCTATTCTAGGATCACAAATACGAGCTGAACCACGGTTGGTGTGGACTAAAATGCACCCTGCCCTCCACATCAGACATAAAAAATATAGGCATCACCAGTACCCATCAAGGGAATTCATTTTAAAAGCAAACAACCTGCCATAGGCTGCAGCTGTGCAGCATGACACATAACAATGGCCAACATGAAAACCATTTGCCCTGAACCATCAGCTCTAGAACAAGAACTAATTAAAGATGATTAAAAGGAATTTTCTCAATCCTATATGTTTGACAAAAAGAAGATGGGCAAGAACCTCAGTGCCCAAACAACAGTAAAGACCTCTGCAAGTTTCATAAAGATTCAATTCAGGTAAATTAATTCCTGCCATTAAAAGACAGAGCTTCACAAACTGCCTAATCAATGAACCCATATATTAGTAGCACATGGGTCAGTGAACAAACAACTCCTCTCCAATCTTTCCACATTAACACATCCAAATTAAACTGAAAACTACCCATGTCCCAAAATCTAGTCAGTGGCAAAATGAACATATGATATAGTGAGCTTCCAATCACACAACAATTAAAAACACCTGAATATGTGTAAATGAATATAGCTGGACTGACCTGAAGTTGAGGAACTGGCCGAAGGCAATGAGGGGCCAGAAGTAAAGAAGGGGAGGCCAAGTGAAGGTGGAGACTGAGAAGAGAGAGAGGAACTGAATCAGCTTGAGGAAATGAGACACATAAGCCATCACTGTGCATGGGTCACGCCCTTTCCCACACAGGTCAACCCATGTTTGTGGGTAAGTCCATAGCCAATAGTAGAATGGGAAAGGTGAAAGCAATCCTAGTGCAGCTGCTATCCCCATTTCTTTTCACCTGATTTTCTCTCACTTTCTCGCGAAAATCTGTGGTGCAGCGAATCTGAGCTGAGGTATTGTGTGTGTTTGTGTGAATTTCGAAATGGGACAAGGGCCGTACCATGGTCGGGTACAGAGGCCCATTCTTATAGCCCAATGTTTAGCAGGCTTCGGGTTATCTCATCTTCGGGAACCACACGTAAAGGGCCCGGCTATGGATGATGCAGTCAAGGGACATTGCTTAAGGAGACCTAAGATTACAAGTGGACAAGGTATTAGAATGTGAGGATCTAACGCATCAACAGTAATGATGAGTAAACAGACTCAAAATCATTTAACTATTATGTAAGTCCATAATTTCCTGATGTGGGATTCACTCTCGACACAGAAAATCAAACGAATTGTTCAAACCAACCAAGCCAAACCAATTTGTTATTTGATTCGGTTTTCACATTAAAATACTTAATCTTGGATTCTACCCAACCAAATTACAATTTATTTTTTTTTCGGTTCGATTTTGCCTATTTTGAACTTCCTAAACCAAACCAAACCAAACCATCTATATTTTGTCCTACACATCAATATCAACCATTAAATATATATATATATATATATAATTAATTAATTAAACTTACAATATGATGCTCCCTTTGGTATATGTAAGAGAATATAAACTATTTGCTTAATTGCTTATATGATAGGGAAATAATCAAACCAAACCAAATTGAAACCTCACTCCCTCATGATGTTGCATTTGTTCATTGTACGATTTGAGGTATAAATCAAACCACGTCGGGCCACCCCTATCCCTAAAAATCATCTAAATAAAAAATTAGTTACTCATCTATAATTGCAATGAAATAAATAGAGAAAACACTTTTGTTTTCATAGAAATAATCCTTGAAGTATCACAATAAAATAGACGGTTTTAATTATGAAACCACGCACTACTGAATGAGGGAAAAAGATGAGAAGATAAAAGATAAAAGGAGAAGGTAGTTGTTAGTCTCTTATTTAAGCAGATGATGAGTACCACATACACGCACCCTTTCAAATTAAGTTTGAACTACCAGCTTTCTCAGGAAACCTAAAACTTTTTTAAAAGTGGAGGATGCCAAATGCCAACAAGGTCTTGGTGCTAGTCAATGAGAACAACTTCACATAGTTTTCCATCTTCTTTCCGATTCATATAGGCGGCGCCACAAATTTTTATTTTTAGGTGATGATCATGGACCACTTGTCCCATGTGATGCCAGGTGCCAAGAGAAAAAGCCTACCCCTTTTTTGGATGATTATAAATACTAATTGCTTTGTTGAATTAATATTAACCAAAGCAGGACATGCATGTACCTTGCATTGCATACATATATTCATTTGAAAAGTTTGAAAACGCGTTATGGATATCTGCATGATTTCACACTGCTATGGCGATGTGATCAAGTGGAAACCCAACAACAAGTTTTCTCTTTTGGAGGCTCTACCTATAAAGAATATATCATCTAAATCTTGTCAAGAATTTATGAGCAACTCGGTATGAATAATTTTTGTGCTTTTCATGACGTTTAACAGAAAAAGAAGAAAATATACGTCTAGACGTCGATATAGGAGAAAATATATATATGTTTTTAACAAATAAAGAAGAAAATGAGAAGTTATGAAAATGACAGGAGACTTGTATACTTAGAGTTGTAGGAATTCTAAATTATATATGATGCATTGAAAACTAACCATACCTATTAGATCTCTTGGAATTTTTTTTCTAAACCATACGTATACATACCGTTTGGAACCAAGGACTTAAACCGCGCGATTGCATAATGTAAAGCAGCTTTATAAAGCAAGGGACTTGAATCGATTCCATGGCATTTCCTTTGTATGTTCATTTATATTTATATATATATATATATATATATATCAAATTTCATTCTCAACTTTTTAGGATTTAATATATGTTAGAACCAAATTTCCTATAAACCATTTGTTTCACTTTGCTTCTAGCTAATCTGGAATATTATTGTGAACTTTTACCGTCAATATAGTCAACCCAAATTGCCAATAAATCTTAGACCAAAACGTTTACTTCGTTATTACAATTATTCAACCAATCATGTGAAAATTAATCAACAAATTGGTGGTAGTAATAATTGGATCACTTTAAAATAAATAATTCTCGGATTATGTCAATTACATATTTGTTTTAGTACAAAGGACTCATTAGTGTAGTGGTTTGGAGCAAATGCTCCATATAGGAAAGGTCCTGAGTTCGAGTCCTGGCATCTGTGTTGTGTGTGTATGAGTTTAGTATGTTATCGCTCATCTCAGTAGGAATGATCTTTTAAATAAATAAAAAATATTTAGTAGTAAAAAGGAGCATGAGGATAAGATAATGCAAAGCATGGTCATTTTGATCATGTTTGTAAAATGAGGGCATATTCTCAAAACAAGAAAGAGGGCAGATACATACAACACTTCTTTTTTCTTTGTTTTTGCCATACCAATAGTGAACAAGAATAAAACTTGCATGCACCTTTATGCAACTAGAAAGAGTGCCACATATTGCGGAGATAATGGTTCGATAATTGATCAACAATGCTCTTTGGTGAACATCTCCAATACAAGGCAAATGGGCAATACAAATTTACCTTGTCAAAGGCTCTCGGCTTAATGCTAATTTAATCCACTGGAGAGGGTAGGATCTGTCATTCACGAAACCCAATTATATAGATAAGTTTCACATGCGCATGCATTCCATCTTTATAAAAACAATGTTTTAAACACTGGATTTAAATTAAAATTTAAAAGCTTCTTAAAAATATGCTAACAATATTGTATATCAAGTTAACATACTCCCTCATGTGCAGTCACATCGTGAACTCAGTTGGACTTGTATGATGACATGTTAGACAATTATTTGAACCCCGAAGGCATTTTTTATTATATGAGCGATATTGAAAAAAAGAAGAATCGAATTTAAGACCTCAAGTGTAAAATAAATGCTTTTAACCGCTTTAACTACAAGTCCCTTATCCACCTTAAAGACATTAATTGTTAAAGAATTAACCAAGAATGCATAAGTGGAAGTGTGGTACACATGGATGGTCATAATATTCTATCCAGTTGGATATTTTTTTGGCCTTTTTGTTGACAATGACATCCTCTCTTTTTTTTTCCCCGAGTGTGCTGATGATGTCTCATTACAATTTCGTATTACAATCCTAGTAAATACGTCAAACATCAAACGACCATATATAGTTGAGACTTGAGATAAAACATTAATTCTTTCCTAAGATAGGCTTTTGTTTAGGAAAATTGAATCACACAGGTACACAACATGTCTCTCGCCAAGTGCTCTTGAAAGAAAGACCCAGTTAATAAAACTTACCAAATAAAGAAGGCTAAGAAAGCAACACTTGTTTACAAATTACAATATACATGGGCTGAGAAGCAAGCATCATTCCTTTTGGTGGTGATGATGTACTCACAGGACCATTTCACATGCTTAACAATTACGTGGTGCTCGCATGCTTCCCTCTCTCTCTCTCTCTCTCTCTCTCTCTCTCTCTCTACCTGCACCAATAATTGGTGAAACAAAATTAGTATATTATGTTTATATTTATATGATTTGGGAATGGTTCCTATGTGGTCATAATATATAGGCTTTTAATTTTATGCATTTTGGTAATCTTAATGCTAGCACACAAAAATTTGGGGGAAGGAGAAAAAGGAGAAGAATATGATAATTGGATTAAATTGTTATCCAATTAACTATTGAAAAAACAAGGATTACATATGGATTTTGGGTGATTAAAAGCGTTCATTTTTGTGTCGTACGACAAGATACTGCGTTAAAATTTCCCCTTCCAATTATTACTTGTCTCGAGAAAAAAGATTACCTAATAAATTTTTTATATTTTTTTATCCAACTAGCTATATTACATTTGAATATACCACATCAAGTATATTCATGTTGCGGACAGATTACATTTTTCACAAAGATGAAATAGACATACGCATATGAATCTCAAATCTGTAATGGATGTGTGATCCACATAATTTTATTTTATTGACTGATTTTGTTGAAGTTTACTATACTTACAAAAAAAAACCATACCCTCACTATATATTTTGCCTATATAAAAAGTGCAATGATCGATGTATGACCACAGAGAATCCTCTGTCATAAAATAGCACGTAGGTACATATGTCATAAATATGATCATCATTAGTCATATAGTTATATCATAAAAATCCCCAGTTGACACACTCCTCCACATGATAAATCCTATTCTCTCTCTCTCTCTCTCTCTCTCTCTCTCTCTCTCTCAATTTTCTATTATATGTTGTGTGCTTCATAGATATCATGTACCTTATTTGGTGTCCATTATTGGATTGAATTTGATAACTTATTAAATTTAAAGTATGTTGAAGGAGAAAAGTAAGAAATGTTGTCCAAATTGAAGGTAGATGGTTTGTTTATGAAGGAAACTTATCCAATGAAATCCTCACAAAATGGTAGAATATCAACATCTTATAAGGTATCGCTAATAACCCTCTTTAAAATGAAAAATATTTAGCATCTACCTTCATTTTTATGGTTCGACATATACCTTAAATTGAATAGTGAATTATCAAAGCCAGTCAAATCCTAACACCAAATCAACCTTATGAGCCAATAATTGAAACAACATCCAGTCAATTCCCCAATGGAATGGTACATATCCTACGGCAATGTGCACTGGTGGGGTGCCACATCAGCACACCTCTAGTTATAAATAAGAAGAGAGATTGAGGCACAGAGAAACACACTAGAAAGATAATACCAACTATACTTTGAGCATCATAGTTCTAATTTCTTTCTCTACTATGGTGCCAACTAAGGTAGCTGCTGAAAATTCGCCATCTCTGGTGCTGCCGCTTGAAGTGGTGGTGAGAGAATATGACAAAGAAAGAGATAAGGCGGCGGTGGAGGAGATGGAGAGGCGGTGTGAGCTTGGGCAGCGGGGAAAACCTTCTCTAGTCACTGATCTCATGGGTGACCCTATATGTCGCATTCGCCATTTACCAACACACGTTATGCTGGTAATTAACCGCTTCATCTCCATGCATGCCTAATCACAAAATTAAATGCATGATATATTTTGATTTGGAGGGCTCATAGGGTTTTTTGCTTCTTGTCTAAAAGCCATTTTGTTTAATATTCTAATAATGACTGACTTGTTTGTGAAGAAAGAAAAACGTTAGCCACGACATATATTAATATTATATATAGTAAAAATACTTTATTTATTTTTAATTTGAGTGTTTTTCCTGGAATTAACGAAATGTAATTGGTAACCCCAAAAAAATATTGTAATTGTGAACAGGTTGCAGAGTATGGAGAAAATGAGATTGTGGGTGTCATAAGAGGTTGTGTAAAAGAGGCCACAAGAGGAAATTCAGTTTTTGTAAAGCTGGCTTATATTTTGGGACTGAGGGTCTCTCCCACGCACTGGTTCCTCTCTCTCTCTCTCTCTCTCTCTCTCTAATTTCTTGTACTTTATTTGTCGCGCATTAATTCATTATTTTGTTCTACCTGCATTAGCTTGCAGATCATGTATATTTATAGCTCTAAAATATGTTAGGAAGATAATTTTCACTGAATAGTTAAGTAATTCTTATGCATGAAACTGTTTTGTTTTTTCTGGATGGTAATAGTGAAAGCAAGAAACACAGTAATTAATTTTCACTTCTTTATTCTTTTTGGCTTCTCTTGCGCTTTTGTACTCCAAGTTTGCTTCTTGTACTACTGAGAACCTGTTTTCTTGCTTTTGTACTTCCATCTCTACATTTCTTAACACAAACTCTCTCCTCTCTCTCTCTCTCTCAGGTGAATAATCTTAGCTTGATTCTAATCCCACTCCCACCCCACATACAGAGAGAGAGAGAGAGAGAGAGAGAGAGAGAGAGAGAAATTAGATTCTAGCATAAAGAGAAACGTAATGTTCCTGGTATCATGGAAAGGAGCAAAAGCATGCAAGTAGCTAGCCTGTCATCGACACATGTATCCACCAGCCGCTACTTTTGCTAAAGAAAAAAAAAGATCAAATCTCTTTTTAATGGAATGTACTCCTCCCCATCCCATTCTCTCATCATATTGTATGCACGATTTGCTACTAAATTGCCTCATCCACACAGTGTGCTCCATGATCCAACCCCCACTTTTCTTTATTTTATTATTCTTATGTTTTCATCCTTTTCCTTCGTCGCTATGTATCTAGACAAAACCTCCATGGATGCATGTTAAAGAAGCATGCAAGAATAAATTGTTACTTGTGTATATTAGCGCTTGGAAGATCTAGGGTATACTTACGTAATATTAACTAGTTATACATTTTGATTGTAATTGCTGTGAATTTTCCATGCAGGAGGCTAGGCATTGGCACGAAACTAGTGAGACATTTAGAAGAATGGTGCAAGGAAAAGGGAGCCGAGTATGCATATATGGCCACAGACTGCACCAACGAGGCCTCAATCAATCTGTTCACTATAAAATGTGCATACAAAAAGTTTCGTACACCCACCATTTTGGTCCAACCAGTCCACGCCCACTACAAGCCAATATCTTCATCAGCCAATAATAATATTGCAATTGTTCAGCTCCCCACAACCCTAGCAGCCTCAATCTACCGCCAACTCTTTTCCCAATCATCAGAATTCTTCCCCAAAGACATAGACTCCATTTTAGCCTGCAACCTCAGCTTGGGTACTTTCATGGCCCTACCAGAGAAGTCCCTCGCAAAATGGGACCCACAAAAGTGGACCCTACCACCAAACTTTGCCATCCTTAGTGTTTGGAACACCAAAGAAGTGTTCAGGTTACAAGTGAAGGGAGTTTCAAGCCTAACATATGCATGCTGTGTAGGCACAAGGCTTGTAGATGCATGGCTTCCATGGCTCAGATTACCTTCGTTTCCTAATTTCTTTAAGCAATTTGGGGTTTATTTCATGTATGGGCTGCACATGGAAGGGGAGCATGGAAATCGGCTGATGAAGGGTTTGTGCAACTTCGTGCATAACATGGCTAGGGATGATCTTGGATGTGCTGCTGTGGTGGCTGAGGTGGGCCAGAGGGACCCAGTTAGAGAGTCGGTCCCACATTGGAGAAAGTTTTCATGGGCAGAAGACACGTGGTGCGTCAAGAAGCTTGATGAAACAAAGCAAGGAGGAGAGAGATCACCATCAGATCAGTTTGATTGGACCAACACTCCATCTTCTTCTTCGTCGCATATTTTTGTTGACCCTCGTGACTTTTAGGCATGTACTCACTTGTGTCGAGAAGAGAAGGGAAAAAAAAAAACATGTTCATAGTTACATCTTATAGAATTGCAAGTGTAGTACGTATAACCCTATATCCAATCCACTGAAATTACATGTTCTCAGAAATAAAAAGAAAAAAGAAGCATGTTACCAATGAAAAGCAAGAACCTTCTACAATTTAGGTGACTATAAAATAGTCAGAAATAAAGAGATCAATTGCCATTCCCACCATGGGCGCAATTGAGGTCCCAGAATCTTTGTTGAACAAAAGCTGGGGACTTCGACACTGTTGTGAGGGACCAAAGCAGATATGCAGCTAAATTCTGGGTATTATTTTTCTTGTGATTTTTTGTTTTAAGTACTTTTGTGTTAAAATTCATACTCTTTTTTTTTTTTTTTTTTTGGAGATTCATTATCATACCCAATACCATAATTTTTTTTTTTTTTTATAAAAAAAAACTTATATGAAATAGACTTTAGAAACATACCCGAATCCTATTTACAACATAACAAAGAGACTTTTAAGTTCTTATAAATTACAAAACTGCCATCAATTTTTTAAAACAAGCCCAACCTCAAAACCTCATGAAGAAAAAAAACTCAAAACACTCAACAAGGCATCAAAGTAATTTAATATTCAAAATTAAATTCGAAAATGCCAACTATCATTTTTTAAGTTTTTTTTATAAAAATTAAATTGTGTAGGATTTATTTATATCATTAGTACTAAGAATGGATATATGATTAAATATCTTTTTCTTTTTTCATTATATTTTATGATTCTTACATAACTTTTTTAAAGTTGGTCCTTTCAAAGGGTTGGAGACATTTTCTTCCCCGTGTCCAGTGGGGACCAAAGATTGCATTATGCTGTAATAGCACGTTAATGATGGGTTAAAAGGTTTTTAAAGGTGCATCAACACAATCTTATAATTTAATTATAAATGGTAATTAGGCCCTTGATTCTGTTGCTTTAGTCAGTGGACCTAGTTTTAGAGGTGTGGTGTGACTACAGGCCTACAAATATATGGTCCTTAATTATATTTAATTGCCAACAAAAGAACCTCTTCTTTCTCTTTCTGCTTCTTTGCTTTTTTTTTTTGGACTCTTATGTTATAATGTTAGACGTTTTCTATTTCTTGATACCCTCATAGATCTTCAATTGTTTAGAGGAAGGTGAAGTCTTGCCACACCCGCTTCAATAAGTTATTTTGTCGGAAAGCCAGACCATAAAGAAAGGGAGGAGCTTGTATATCACGAGGATAGCCATGTTTTTTTAGGGACATTTTGGAAAAAGCAAAAGGAGAGAGAAAATTTTTAAAAGAAGCAAAAATGGACAAAAATGCCCTTATTTATTTTTAGATTTCCTAAGGAATCCAATACATTTGCATGTCTTTGATTTGAAAGTTGAGTGGTTTTATTGTCTTTTTGGAAAAAGCTTTGGTTTTTTCCAAAAGTGAAATTTTTTTTATGTGTAAAACCTAAAAAACCTTTTTATATAGGTATCCCCAACTAATCACCAAAACACAAAAACCAAAAAACACTAATCACCTATCACGTTTCGTCATGTCAAAAAGTGGTCACGCTTGGCGGAACATGATTAGTTGGGATGGCAGAACAATTATATCCCCGTGATATACAAGTTTTTCTATAAAGAAATGTGTTTTAAAATATAGCTAAAATGCACCTTCAGCAGTTTTCTACTTATTTTCTTCCTTTTTTAATGGAAAGGCTCTGTTTGTAAGATAATTTTATCCGTAGTCTCACATTTGGCCAACTGATAGTTCACCCAAATAACTATTCCCTGGTATGATCTACATCAGCTCAGGATCCTTGGTTCCTACGCAGTTGAAAGCATTTAATATGAATAACTCAGATGACCATGGAAATCTTTATACCACTGTAGATGTTATTACTAAGAGAACTTCATGCTTCTTCTAGACCTCTGTGAAGGGAAAGTCTATGGATTTTAACATAACTATTAATGGGTGGCTTTCGTTCTTACATTTCCCAGGCAGCCGACCAGTTAAGGTCAATTAGAGATTCATTATCGCATGTTAAACACTACTTGGCTATATAGCTTGTATTTAACAGTGACCTTACGGTATTGACAACTTAGGCTACAAACTTACAATAAACTATGACCTCTATTGCACATCAAACTTGCAGATTGCGAGAAGTCAGCGATGAGCACAGCAATACTGGTTCAGAAATCACATTGTAGAAGCTTTAGCAAAACTTGAAAATCTGGAGGACTCATTTTCTAGGAGAGCCTGCGGATTTCCTTGTTCAACCTACATAGGTGCAGAGAACAAGATAATCGATTTTATCAAGTCGGTGATTTCAGAAGGCAAGGAAACATTTTAGCCACTCAGTCAGTACTGCAACTGTAGATGACAATCTAGTAATGTAATGACAATGAGGTTGACATTTAATCAGCAATCTGGAAGACAGAAGGCAGCCGATTTATTCTGTTGAAGTTATATTTAATCTTTATAGGTGCTGTGATATTGGCCTTTGCAACCAATATAATCTAACATTTTAAAGATGTCTTCACTTTTCTTACAAACAAACGTTAGTTCTGGATGCAAATCATAGAAATCAAATAATAACAAAAAAGATATAAAGAACACAGGAAAACACACAGGTAGATACACGGGAAAGCATGACATACCAGGATACCATGGTCAAGGACCAAGACACTGTCCATATTTAAGACAGTGGAAATACGGTGAGCAATTGTGATAACTGTCATCCCTCTGCATTCACTAGATATAGTTTTTTGTATTATTGATGCTGTTTGCGTATCAACATTAGCCGTGCATTCATCCAAACACAGGACCTGAAGGTTTTCAATATGATCAGTCTTTTATCTGTTAATAACGTAAAACACCCCTTCCCCAAATGATCCATGCAATGCAACAAATTCCTGTACAGAACAGCCATACACATGTACACTTAATTTTAATTTCAAGGTGGAAATGTTTACTTTTCCATCTATTTCTTGTTTTTTATTTATTAATTGTAAATTGACTAAATAGATCATATAGAATTTTGAAATTGTACTGGAAGCATAATCCATTAAATTTCTCAGAAATAACAGGAGAGACATATAGACATAAATAGAGGTACATATTACCAAAGAATTTGATCAAAAAAGAAAAAGAAACGAACAGAATTTGAGTTTGACAAGAACATGGCTGAAAACTTGAAAAAAGTGGCATAAAAGGAATATAGCTGAAATCCAGTAATTCATCCAAAGCAATCACTTTAACCAGATTGAAATGGTTGCAAACACAACTGGCACGTTCTGTTGAGTGATGTTAAATGGATCCTTGGAAATTTTTATACAATTGAATAATCAAGAAACTTACAGAAGTTCATATTTCACAAATATTGCAATTTCAGCAAATGGTTAGTTCATTGTGCTGTCCCTGAAGTATTTATCACTGTACCTTTGAAGACTTCAGAAGTGCACGTGCAAGGCAAAGAAGCTGTCGTTGCCCAACAGAAAATGACATCCCTGATTCCTTCAGGTGAATATCTAGCCCTCCTGCTGCTTCTACTTCCTCTTTGACATGGCATCTCTCCAAAGCCTTGTCCCTAGAAATTTGGAAGAAATGCATGAAAATCTACTTAATAATTAAAGTAGGTCATCTGACCAATATTAAAGGTTACAGGGGTAATAGAAAGTATGAGATCTAAAAAGTTAACATCAAAAGAATATACCATAAAGAAAATATACCACAACTATAAGGACTTAATAGAGTACCTTAATGATCCTTCAAATAAAAAAGGAGTCTGAGGAACAACAGAGAAATGTCCACGAAGATCTCTGATTGGAGCACTAGCTATGTTTATGCTATCCACAAGAATACATCCTTTACAGATTGGTGTGAGGCGGAAAAGGGCATTCAAGACACTAGACTTTCCAGCTCCTGTCCTTCCAATAAATCCGACCTAATTAACAATCAAGGGGAAATAATAAATGAGCATTATCACTTAAGTTCTAACCTTTAACATCAGGCTGAGTATGTACCAACCTGCATCCCTCCCTCGATAGTAAAACTAATATCACGGAGTGCAGCTGGTAAAGATGGCTTATATCTCAAGGTTACATTCTGGAATTCAATCTGTCCTTGATGGGGCCAACTGGGATGTAAGGATTGGGATCCATGCAGTTCTTCTTGTGGAACGTCCATATACTGTGAAGCATAAAATCAGACATTAGTAATTTGTAGCAATCTATATCAGACAAAGATCCATCTTTGTACCTCAAGAGCTCTTTCAACAGAAACCATTTCCTTCTCCGTTTCAGTGAAACTTGTCAAAAAGCTTCCCAGTAAAGACACAACTGGAGCTGCATAAGACAAAGCCAATCCTACCTGTAAAAGAATGCACATCCTTTAACTCTAACTTTGACTCAAATCTCAAAAATGAAATTTAATTGTAATAGGTTGAAGATAGATGAAGTTCTACAGAACTTACCAACCCTGGAGTACTAAAATTGATTGGTAAACTGCCATGAGATCCAATAACAGCCATGACAGCAACAAATGAGATGATAAACGCTGCTAACAACTGAAAGAAGATCATTGCCAGATTGTCAGAGCAGGCTATGAAAAACTTTTCTGGTTTGCCATAACTTCTAGCAGTTATTTATATTCTAAAACACTCTGCCTTACATGGAGCTCTACTACTAGATCTAGATCCCAACCGACAAAACTCAACTAATACTAAAAGGCTTCAATTGCAAGGATTTGAACTTAGGATTGCCAGTTCTGATAACCATGATAAAAACTTGTGGGATTAACTGCAATTTGCAAAATATTAAGCTGTCAGGATGCGGGCTTACAAGTATTTTATATTCTAACAGGTTATACTTTTTTCTCCTAAACTATAAAACTTATGTTCCCTCCTTCTAACCATACAATTTAAAGCCTTAAAATCCAAGCATATAGTCTTACTGTTAAGAAGAAATTATGCTTAGAAAGTTCACTTCACAATTAACTTGTACCCCACTTGCTTCAGATTATTTTGTTCTTATGATGAACAAAGCTCCAGAGTATAAATGTGTACTAGTTGTTAGGATTTTGGCTCGTCAAATATGTCCTAGTTGGTTTAGGATTGTTTTAGGAAAATTAGAGGTATACCAATTCTTGTCCTAGAGGGATTAGGAAAGAATTTCAGTTTTCCTTATTCAATTCAGGTTTGGATTTCTAGAAGTCTATTAGGATTTGGATAGTGTAATTTCCTAATCTACTTAGGAATAGGAATCCAATCAGCCTTGGGACATGTAAGCCAACTCTATATCTATAAATAGGGTGTGGCAAGGCTTATTTTAAGGAGAGGAAAAACAGCCAGAGACAGCCAAGAGTTTTGAGATTAGTTCTAGGGTTGCAAAAGTTCTGTAATCTCTATTATCAATCAAAGGAGCGGTGATTTCTCTACCTAGAGAAATCACAACTGGACGTAGGCAAAAGTTCTGCCGAACCAGTATAATTCTTGTGTGTTTCTAAGTGTTTTAATATTTGCTAGTTTAGTCTATTGCCGTCGGTTACATCAAAGAACAAGATCTAGAAGGCGAGTTATTTAACACTAGTAACTAAAATTGACTAAAAAGGATGGTTGTTAAATACTGAGATATACCTGAAGATGCAGGGAAAGCCACAAACTTGCTGTTAACTCTGTGTAAGAAGTTTGTTGATACAATTTGACCTGGTCAGTGAATCTGGCGAAAAAGAGGTCCTGTCCACAACCAGAATTGATTGGTTGCAATATGTCTATCAATTTTAGTATAAGCAAAAATCATCATCAAGACCAGTGAGAATAAATGCAAGAAACAAGCCAGCTTGTACATACAATAATACCAATAAACAAATAAATAAAAGCAGATATGTACTATTTCACTCTATTTCACTCAAGCTATTTTTACTAAAGCACTAAAATAAACTCTATCATCCTGATGGGTAACTATAATTTCAATGATACTAAGCTATGTTTCTTGTTTAGTTGGGCTTCATTTCTTCTGGTTGGAGTGATCCTGATTGTAATTGTCCTAATAAGAGTCTCAAATAAAGGATACTAAGCTATGAATCCAAGAAATCAGAACACAATAATACTTAAATCTCGTGCACCTCATACCACTTCCACTAAGCCCATTATGAGCTGTCTCAACATTTTTTTCCTGAACTATCCCTTTAAATATGTCCCTAAAGAATTTCAAAATTTATAACCATGCTCATTTTTTGCTTCATCCTATGATCCAAACAGATTCATTTTTTATATGAAATTATGAATGTTCTTTTGTTTTTTACCAATTGGATAAATGAGAGCAATCCTCTAATAACATCTTTCACAAGTTATTTAATGTGACTGGTGCAACTGGGAAAAGTGATGCTACTACAGAACATAATTATTCCCAATATACACTCGCTTTGAAAGGGGAATGGAACATTTAAAAGTAGCAGTAGTTTCTAAACTTCATTTCACAATTTGAGGAGCAACATACCACCTATTAACTGCAGAAAAAAGAGGAAGCAGATATTTTCATACATTTTTAAAATTTTGAGGCTGTATACTATTTTTACTGCACATACAACTCATTTACGAATGTCATGGTGCACCTTTGTTCATGCATATGTATCCCATGAGTATCAAGGACCTTTGAAGCAATTATACATTCTTCCCCATGATATCATCATATAAATAATGATCGTCATCACTTGGCAGTCAATCTTTTACAAAATATGTACCTCAGACTTGAATGCTCGAATAGTTGATGAGCCATCAAGTGTCTCTGTGAAGGATGTATAGATGGGAGATCGAGAAACACTGTCCAGCCTTCGCAATTCCCGAGATGTTGATCTGTAGAAGAACTGTATAATTCTTCACCAATCAGATTATTCTTCTTTTTTTATATATAAAATAAATTTTCTAAGCAATGGATAGACCATAACGTTGAAAGATATCATCTGCCACATTCTTAGAATCAAATCACATTCTGTTCTGATGTGATCCCAAATTATGTTGTATTCTAACCATCTCCTCCCATATTTGGTGTACACTATCCCTGAAGAGTTGTGCAGGTCTAACACGTGGCAGTTTCAATGTAATATAAAGGCTTTGTCCCATATTTCTTTAAAATTCTAGGTTCCAATGGTGTTTGAACTTTGAAGTATCATGAGTCCTCCACTTGCTTTGTTTAAAAATCACACTTATCATTTTCATGAAAACAAGATATTCAGTCCTAAATTCCTTTGTTAACATATGCTTGAAAATGATCCAAAACATGGAAATATTTTACATCTTTGTTAGACAGGGAAAAAAAGGTAATATTACAAGTAAAATTTCATATGAAAAAAGAACCAGCTTACCCTATAAAAAGGAGGAAATCTATCGTAACTCTATGTAGAATTAACAATTTGCCCTAGTCTCTTAGAACATTGCATTTTCCATAACTCGATTTCCCAACCTATTTTATGAAAAAACAAGTATAATAAAACTTTCCATGTGCCCAGTCGCAAGTTTCATATATTAATTGAACATTCCCAAAGTTCTCAGTGGTTTGAACAGTTCATATCTGAACTATGGCTCAGACAAAAAAAAAATGAAAAAAAGGGCACGAAGAATACCTGAAGTTTGCTGTAGATATACCAGAATGGCAATAGCAAAAGCAAGAAGAAGACCTAGAGACAAGCATAAACCTTTAGAACAACATTTCAATGAATGAGGATGGCCAAAAGTTTGGAATTCCAGAAAAATGCCCCACAAACTTTGGATACCTGTACGTATGACAAAACTATTGCAATTCCTAGCAGGCCAACAAAATTGGCTAGGAGAATGTTAAGAATGAAGGGGAGAGAATCATCAATTGTATATAGATCTGAAGAAAACCTACAGGGAAAACAAATACGTAGAATTTAACAAATTATAGCTAATAAAATCAGGAAGATATTGGGAAGGAATCTTATAATAACCTGTTTAGTATTCTTCCGCCTGGTGTCTGATCAAAGAATTGTACTGGTGCATTGATAAGCCTTTTCAGCAGTGTATCATGCACCTTAACAGCAGCTCGTAAGCCACCAAATGCAAATGAGAAAGCCCTCACTAATGTAAGAATTGAATTTACAATGCAAAAGATGCAGAGTATAACCTGCACTAATCCAACAAAAACAGAAACAAACGTCTTAATAAAAACTAAGGGCATTTCCTTTTCTCTTCTTTTTTTGGAAAAAATAAAATATCATTGACCTTCTTACAACATGAAGCTGTCTATAAGCTAAATTCATAATTTCAGCAACAAGAGTAAAAGATTCATAAGCTGGTATGTTTATCGATTGCAGTACACAGTATAGATAGATCACTTCAAAGTTCAAACCAAATTTATAACACCCAAAAAAAACACGAATGACAACTTTTCCCTTCTTATATTTTAACCGTACAAGGGATTCTAAAATTAGTGTTAGAAAATAGGGACAGAATAGTAAATAATTAGGATTCCAATTCTTGGAATCCCTTGTTTAAGGGCGTGCTCTATATTTTGTTGTTTCCTAATTTGGTTGTATATCATAAAGTAGTTTCCTATTCTGAATAGGGCTGTAAGGTTTATGATAGGGTACAACTTACAACCCTACAACCAAATCCGAAAACCGGATCACAGCCCTGATTCAAACCAAATCTTCCTGGAATCATAATCATAATGTAATTTTTTTCCAACTATCAGAACTCAAAAATAAACAAATAGAGAGTATGAAGAACTATCTATTTATAACATATTACATTTAAGTCTTCATATTTTGACGATCTGATTATCAAATTTGAATGCATAATTTGGAGCTACCATACTGTAAACCTCTTGTAAAAATCTGCAATTTTTGGGCTTTCTGAAGGCTTCTACCATTTGAGAGAATCAGGACTCTAGGTAACCTTTTAATTCATCAAAGTTTATTTTAAAACAAAAAATCATGCCATAATATGGAAAACTGTGGAAGTTGTTTACCAGATAAAAGGATGTGGAATATTCTTTCCGACTGCTTCTTGTTGCATCAACCCAATTTGACAGCCACAGATCATTCCCATTACGAGAAGCTTGCATTAGGATTGCTGACAGGCATATTACAACTGAAATGAACCAACCAGAAAATGTGGCATAATTCCTGCAATCATAATTAATATTAATCCTACAGAACAGATAATGGAAACCCCAACTATATCCACATCCAATACAAAATTCTTGTCTCTTGCATGCATTGAAATGTTAAATCATAAACTTTCCTGTAAAAGATATGAACTATGAAGTCAGCAATTTTTTTTTTTAAGAGAAACGATGTACTATGAAGTCAGCAAAATAAATCAACGGAACAAAATTGATATCGGTTTTCAATGCAGTGGAGTGTGATACTCACTTGTAGATGGTAAGTTCTACTCTGCCCTCTTTTCGTGCCTCAACTTCAATGATCTCTTGTGTTCTATCTGAAGCAGGCACAGTATCTTTTTCTAGCACAAGATTTTGTTGGCTTTCAACATGAATATCTTCGACTGCACTGCATTCTTGGCTTTCATTGTTTAGACATATATCAATTTCATTCAGTGGAGAGAATGTTGAATATGAAGAAACAGGGCAATCAGCCGATCTTCCTACCCACTTGACATGTCCTTTGTCCATAACAACAATTGTATCGGCTGAAGATATTGCCTGTGCAGTAACAGATGGAATCATTTGCAAAAGAACTGGAGATTGGAATTATATGTGGAACAGTTTTCTATGACTTGAAGTGCTTTATAGTTTCTCATAAACCAGAAAATTTTGCAACTAAGATGATAACAACTTCGCCAACTGAAACAAAATATATTTTAATAATACGAAAAAAATTGTATGATGACAAGCAATCATGCATCAAAATCCATTCAATGTAAGAAATTCCAAACAAATTCATAGAAAATGTTGTTCTGGTGATCAACTGAATTCTGTTTAAGTCAAAATTGATGTAGGATATGGGTGAATTGAGTATTTGGGTAATTTAGCGGAAGCGAAAACGATGGAAAAACAGAAAATAGGTGGTAAAAGACACCTTGGCTTCACACCAAGGAGTCTCCAATCTCTGGAAAGTAGACTTCTCTTAATATCTCAAATCTCAACTCCATAATGAATTACATGAGAGAGGTATTTATAGCAAACTAAAACCTAGAGACAATAGGATAAAAAAATCCCTAGCTAAAACAGAAAATCTAACCTAAATAAAATAGGAAACTTAGAAATCCTACTAAAATCTGGAAAACTTAAAAATCTTACTAAAATCTGGAAAACTTAAAGAACAAGTAAGAAACGAATCGAAGGAATAAAAAATTGCCAGATTTAAAGACCAAATTAAATGACTTCCTATTCCATCTCTTTCTTTTGTAAACCCTAATGGGTTTGACAAAGATGTCCTCAACAAAATAAATAAATAAATAAAACTCTGGGGAAACAGGTATAACCTGAACATTGTGGGTACAAAGTACACGAGTCTGTTGTTTCATAAGCGGACCCAAAATGGCGTTATACAAAATACACCGAGCAACTTGTGCATCAACTGCACTTAGGACATCATCAAGAATAAACATATCGGAGCCATTATACATGGCCCTGCAATTGCACAAAGTTACAAGAAATTTGATCAGATTCAAGGGAAAAAAATAGAAGAAAGAATTGAGGCCCATTCATAGCTAGACATGGTGGGTATAGAGAGAAGATGTAACCTTGCCAAAGCAATTCTAGCTCTCTGTCCACCTGACAAGTTGATTCCTTTTTCTCCAATGTAAGCCATGTCACCTCCAACCATTAATGAAATATCAAGGTCTAGAGCACTTGCCTCTAAAGTATCCGAGTATCTACCAACAAAAAGGAAAATCACAATAAGAAAATTGGGGAGAACACTCCCCTCCAAGATAAGAAAAGCATCCACTTGCACAAAAACTGGAGAAAACTCGTTCATAACCAGGGTCGGCCCAAAGTAAGGACACAGTGGGTAACCTCTTTACGCCCCCACATCAGAGGGCTGGAAAAAATTAATCTATATGTATGGTAAAAATATATATATATACAAGCACCCCAAAAAATTGTATACATACAGGGGCCCTTTTTCTTTCTTTTAGAAAGAGGCCAAAAACGTATAGTGGTCTTTGGCCCCAGAACAATTCATTTTCACCAAGATCATCAGTCGGACTTAAGAACATGTAAATCATTACATGATAGAGGTCTGCCTGAGAGCCGGTGCACCACTTGATGACAATAAGAAGTGAAAGATATCCAAAAAGGCTGTTAAGAAAGATCACCTGCGGCACAAACTGGTACCTAACAACAAGATGCAGAACAAGTCAAACGCTTGTGCACTTCATTTGAAAGTAATACAACAATGGGAAAAGTGAAAAAACAGGAGACCCACCTTATATCAATCGAGCTGCTGAAAAACCGTGCATTGAAGTAACTAAGTAGAATTCCTAAGTTCATTTGCGCCACACCCAACAAAATCGACATTTTCATTTTGAGAGAATTCAAGAAAGGCAGCTCTGAACGACTTCCACGCCAACTGGGATCCACACCAAATGGGTATGGATCTCGGTACTTGATTAAACCAATAGTGTACGCCTCACTGCTCAAAAGAAGACAAATTTATGATAAGTAGTTAGTTTTCTGCTGAGGAAAGTCATAAGTTCAGCCAGCATAAACAATGGAAGATTTTTAAGAGTTATAAAATAGAGGTGATTGAGAAACCGCCAGACAACATAGTGCCATAAATGCCTAGTGAAGGACAGCTATGATTAGCAGATCAAAGTAAGTTCCAACAACAGTGATACACATGGCTTGGATAGATATCGTATCTTCTCAAGCTCCGTGCACCACAGACCAGACAGATGCTCGTAAGTAACACACCACCAAAGTCATCAATCAAGATGGGGAGAATCCCCATGGATTGAATGAGGGACGACCCTAGCGGCAGCAGGCCATAGGAATGAACTCTAAAGGAGGCAATGAAACCACCAATCCATCCAGAATGATGATGATGAAAAATAACTATTAGATTAATAAATAATTATTAAACTTTTAATAGGAAGATTCTGTGAATCTTATAAATATTAGATAATTCGAAAAAACATTAAAAACTCTTACAAGGATTGATCTCTAATTAAGCAGAGGTGTGATAAAAGCCATGTAACACCAGCCTAGTAGTGGGGTTTAAGCACATAGATTCCAGAAACCTCAATCTCTAAAACAAGAAGTCAGAGTGGTATATTGTTGAACACAAACTCATTCCAAACAACCCAGCTGAAGGAAAAATTAGAGATTGAAGATTTAAAATAGAGAGCTTACCTGCAAGCGGTATCTCTACATTTGTAAGCAGACCCACCAAATATGTGAAAAGGAACAGAGAAGAACTCATTGTAAATCAACCCACAGTAGATTGAAAATAGGGACATCAAAAGAAGTACATATCGCCCACCAAATAGCATCTCCATAAAGCTCCCAAGTTTCTGGTAGGAAGTAATATAAAATTTCTTAATAAGACAAGTGGAAAAAATACAATTCTCTTTCACGTGTTAAATGCATGTTATGTTCTTTCTAAACACCAGAATCATAACAAATATTTGTTAAAAACGAAAACTGAAAGAGAACTATCCTACTTATAGCTCCATATGAAAGAAATTATTGCTACTGTTGCTGTTATAAGTATTATTATTTGATACTGTCATCATTACCACAGTAAGACCACATCATTCCTCCATAAATAAACCATGAGATTGTGAATCTAGCTCAGGATATTACGTTGGTGCTAGCTAAATCTTTGCTGCAGGATTGGTTATATTATGAATCCTTGGATAACAAAAACCGCAATCTCTATTATATTAAATCTTGCTGAATAGCATAGACACAGTAACAACGACAACCAGAAAAAAAGTTCAGGGTCAGTGGTACTAGTGGACAATATTGGTTATGGCTAGGGTTGCAACATATCTTTTGACAACTTCTGGGGAGAGCGAAAGATACTTTTAATTGCAGCTGATCGAGTCAATGCCTATGAACTGGAAAATGGTACATGTTGCCAAGCAGCTTGAAGAAGTTTTGACTTAACTAAAGCAATATAATTCATTAGTGATCAAGTATAACGTCTTCAGATAGTACACTCCTCTTAAATTTAAATGCTAGAAGTTCACAAAAAGGGGCGTACCTGAGCACTGAGCTTAGTTTCACGAGCTATAAGAATTAATGCTCCCAGCAACAAGCATATTCCATGACCCCAGTCCCCAAACATCACCGCGAAAAGAAATGGAAAAGTAATACAAGTGTAAACAGCAGGATTGGCTTCTTGATATCTTGCAACACTGCCAAATGATCATATAGCTCGTCACCTAAACAACTTATTATGTTGATTCACTTATCATTTTCCCTTTGTAATGAAAAATGCTAACAGAAATACTTAAAAGGAGAATTGTTTCCTCATCATGTACTTTGCAACTGGCTCTCGCTCTTAATTTTCCTTTTTCATTTTTCTCCTATCAATTATGAAGATTTAACCCAGTAGTTAGAACGCTAAACTTTCTAGAATTTCAGCTAATTTTCAAACGAAGTTGAAAAGTTAATTCCCCTATTTTAGGTGTGGGCAAAGGAAATACAGAATATTCCTCATTATTTAGTTGTAAAGTAACAACTTGCAGCAAATGCAAGCCTCCCATCCCATTCCTCGACAAACTCCTAACATCTCCAAGCTCCACCCTTAAGTAGGTTGGACATGCAAAGCACCTGATGTCTGATATTTAATTTGCTTGTTAATTGAAGGACAAAAAATCTATGTAGTAAATCACTTGTGCCAGCATGCATTGGCTTTCCTTGCTAATGTGTCAACCATAGACACCTACCAATATGTGAGAAGTGTACAAACAGAATGTAATTTCTAATCCAAAATATTCATTATTTCTAAGAACATTTGCCCACTGTTCACCATTAATTGACCATGATTTCACGAGGAAAATGATGCACCAATTTAAAGACAATTTCCTTTCATTAACAGAAGAAATGATAAAGTGTCTAAATATCATATTTTGACTAACCCATATGCATCAACAATTTCCTGAAATGCACTCGTGAAGCGGTTGGTTCTGAAATATGTAGGAGGTGATTCTATTGCATCCATCAGGTGAAATATTATTCCCACTTGCGAATTGCTATCAAATGTAGCACGTTGCAGTGCCTCCTGAATCTGTTCAACCATAAAATTACTACATAAATATAACACAAGTTCGCAAAAGTCATCTACAATCAAAAAGTATTAAAGTAACAACATAGTAACATACCCTTGACAAAGCTAAAAATTAGATATAGGTACTCACTAGCTTTTTTTTTTTACACGAGTCCAATGGTATCTTTTGGATCTTGCCTTATTTTATGGCTTTTTGGAAATATCAGTAATGCCCTTTTAAGTATTGAATATAATAACTTGTACATTTACGTAAATTCTAAAACTCACATATTTCATTCCACTTTACATAAAAGTTGTATTTTGGGAAAAAAAAAAATCGTAAATATTTATCAAAGACAACTCATGATAACTATAACATTATGTATTACAAATGAACTGATGTACCTGTAAGACAGATACATTATTAAAATGAATGATTGCATCAAAAGTGAACTATAGGGGGGCAAAGGCTAATCTATCCGTGGTACATGCATTTTCTAGAGATGAAAAAAGGCCTTATGTTGCGTTAGGATAAGGGATCTGTATTACCGTTACATAAATTATTTTTTCAAAGACAACCTTAGGTTCTTCACGGGCCTTGTTTCATAGATATTGACGAATGTTGGCAAAAAATACAAATTCTATGCAAGACTTGGACATTTATAGACGCATTGTCGATTTTTTACAGAAAAATGTACAATCAGCTCATAAAATTATGCAGACACGTCATTAATGAGAGACCTAACCCAAAAGAAACATTGGACTTGTGATACTGCAATAAAACTATTGATGAACATAGTGACAGAGGTTACCTTAGTGTTTGCAAATATAGGACACCAGCCCTCTCCAACAAGACATTTTTTTGTAACATCAAAGTTAAGCATGTTCAATGTATCATATACAGCTTTCTCCCTTCTCACCTGGTAAAGAGTAGAAAACACGACATAGTTGTCACTATCAGGATAAAGCTAAACCACTCCAATTCACACAAACTGTTAGTCATATATTAGATCAATATTTTTTGTCGCTCACGCCAAAGAAATAACAATTAACAAGAGGCAAGCAGGACCAATATTTTACCATGTTCATCCATTTTGCTAGGTGAAACCCAACAGAAGTAAGGGCCTTATTTCTGTGACGGATCCCTGCATCCAAAGTTGCTTCCAATTCAGCAAGGCGTGACGAAACCTGCAACCCAAAACCTGAACTTTCAAAAAGATAGAATAGAGTATTTGTTGATACTATCATCAAGATCCGCAAATATATGCTATCACAAGATAAAACAAATTAAAAGGAGTAGTTGAAGATAATTATGCTATCAAGCTCACATCAGATATACACAAACATTAAAGCAGAACAAAGTTTTGTAAGATGTTTGAATAAAAACAAGGATTCCATCTTTAAGCTTGAAACTTCATTCTGTTAGGATTTTGGCTCGTCAAATATGTCCTCGTTGGTTTAGGATTGTTTTAGGAAAATTAGAGGTATACCAATTCTTGTCCTAGAGGGATTAGGAAAGAATTTCAGTTTTCCTTATTCAATTCAGGTTTGGATTTCTAGAAGTCTATTAGGATTTGGATAAGTGTAATTTCCTAATCTACTTAGGAATAGGAATCCAATCAGCCTTGGGACATGTAAGCCAACTCTATATCTATAAATAGGGTGTGGCAAGGCTTATTTTAAGGAGAGGAAAAACAGCCAGAGACAGCCAAGAGTTTTGAGATTAGTTCTAGGGTTGCAAAAGTTCTGTAATCTCTATTATCAATCAAAGGAGCGGTGATTTCTCTACCTAGAGAAATCACAACTGGACGTAGGCAAAAGTTCTGCCGAACCAGTATAATTCTTGTGTGTTTCTAAGTGTTTTAATATTTGCTAGTTTAGTCTATTGCCGTCGGTTACATCAAAGAACAAGATCTAGAAGGCGAGTTATTTAACATAATATGTATAGAGATATCATACAACCAAACTCAAACTTTTGGAATTACTCTAGTTACATTGGGTCATTCGAAAATTTGAATTTCGAATATAGTTCTTAAACTTATTTCATATCATGATAGATGCCATAAGCCTGCATATGCTACATTATTTTATGGGCACTAAGATATAGTTTTTCCTTTAAATAAGGTTTGAAACATTGAACTACAATGCAGAGTGGGGCCCATAATGTGTCTCTTAAATAATCCTATTTAAGGGATCCCTCAACTGAAGCTGACTATGTACATATGCACATGTGTCTGAAAAGATGAGGTTCTTCAGAACCCTCCACCTGACTGCCCTGTCAATACTCATGGAGTGGTTACTTTCTAAGTTCAAACTCATGATAATAGTTGGCTGGACTTCGGGTGCTATCCACCATCCAATCAACGGCATCTACTGTAAAACCCGTGAGCCCTAAGAGCTGTGTATTTATTTTGCAAGCATTAAACTAAACCAGGGCTGCCTTAAGCTTATTATATATTATATATGTAACGTCTTGTAACCATTAGGGAAAATAATTCTTGTGTGAGACCGTGGATATGTACTAAAGAACCCCATTGCTTGTTGTGGCCCTAGGCCCAAAAAACTCAGGTTCAGTCCTGTTCTCAATTCTAAACTATCCAGAAATGGGCCTGATGCAAGACGCGTAGGACCTAAATTTATTAGTTTCCTAGATTCTCTAGTTTTCCAAATTCTAGTAGGATTTCTACTTTTCCAAATTTCCAGATTTCTAGTTTTAAGTTTCCTATTTTATTGAGGTTAGGATTTCTGTTTAAGCAAGGGATTTTTATCCCATTATGTCTGGGTTTTAGTTTGCTATAAATAACCCCATGTAGTTCTTTAAAATTCAGATTTGGATATTGAGTAAACTTTCTCTTAAAACTATGTGATTTCTGTCCTTCCTTCTCAGTTCTCTGATTTCGGTCCTTTCTTTTGTCCCTTTGATCTATATTTTCGTCTCCTCGACCTCCGATATTCTTCTTGTTCTGCTGTTCTGCCCTTTCTTTCATCTTTTCGATCTATATTTTCGTCTCCTCGATCTCTTATATTCTTCTATGTTCTATTGTTTGAGTGCTTAATCTAATACCTACGGGCTGTACTACATCAGGGCCCCTTATATTGGGAGCAACTCAGGCAGTGCTGACATGCAATATATGATCTCTTTGTAACTGGCCCCCTTCATTTCATAAAGAGGAGCAGGATGTGTTTACTATGAAACTAGCACATTCACAGTAAAACACAAAATTGAAAAATTAATATTAAATCAGACTACTTCATCATTGGAAAAGGACCACACCTTTTGGGATCATAATGCTTTCCAAACAGTATGTTGTCACGTATTGTTCCAGATAGAATCCAGGGGACCTAACATTTCAAAATGCGAAGGACAGTCGATAAATTCTATTTCATAAGAGCGTAGCTATAGAAACCACACTAAACTAATCACAAACCTGTGGTACATATGCTATAGAACCACATGAATATACTGATCCATGGACAAGTCGCATTTCCCCCAAAATTGAATTTAACAAGGATGATTTACCTGAACCAACCTGAGAGAATTCAACAAGCACACTGAATGGTGAATGCAGCAGATGTCAAATTAATTCCCCCATCACGAAAAAGAACTATATCACATATTCTAGTAGTAAACCAAATTTGATATATCTAGTTACAAAACTTTTGCTTATAATAACATTCTTGAAAAACTTTACATGGAATTTTATTGGCTTCACCAAAGCCCCAATTTCATGCACTACAGAGTCCCTCATCGCCTAACAGTAATATTTAAGTCCATTACAGATTGCAATCTTCTTCTTCTTCTTTTTTTTTTTTTTTTTTTTTTTTTTTTTTTTTTTGTGTAGAACTACAATGTTAAATTGTTTTGCTTTGATAACATCTAACAAATGATGGGAAGAAAATCTGAACAGCATTAGAAATAATCATGTCTTGCTCAAAATAGGGAACTTTTGTGAAACTATTTTCCATTCATAAACAATCTAACAAATAAGCTAAGAAATTCGGTTCTGCATCCAAAATAGCAGATAAAAGGTATCAGATATGAAATGATAATGAGCATATTTTAATCTTCACATAACTGACCTCTCCAATCACTGCAATGAAGGAACCCTTTGGAATGCCTAGAGTTACATGTTTCAGCACCAAATCCAAGTCTTTTTCATCGCTGCTTGACCAAGCACAACATGAATCATCGAATACAACAGCCTTATCTTCATGGAAAATTTCAGATTTGTCATTTGAGAAATATGGTGAAGATGAACCAGCTGTTGTTTCCAGTTTTGATTTGGACTGAGAGCAAGATAGAAACCTGCTCAACCGCTTGATAGATATGATGGCCTGGGATAGAGTAAGGAGAGTACATGCATTTCAATCAATAATTAGAGAAGTATGAAAAGACTGTACTTCAAACCCACGGAACAAGGAAAACTTACATCAATTAATCCATTAATGACCCATGGAAATGAATTTAGAGGAGATATCAAAGTATTAAACAGAGCAAGACAAGTGAAGACCTGCATTTGGGGTTTTAGAGGGGTAAGTTTTTCTTGGAAATTGCTTCATTGTCTGAACAATATGAATTAAAATCATTATGCTCAGGGAACAGTGGGTACCGTTGCAGCATCAAGTTGATGCCCCATCAATGTGAAAAGTCCAAATGTGAACAGGGAAAAAAGAGTTGGTGTTGTAGCCCAAAAAAATACACACCAGGCATCCAAGTATTTCCGCGTCTAATCAATGTAGATAAATCAAACATTATTCTATGCAGCTAACTGGAGCACTGGAAGAAAAGTAAAGATACCTAATCAATTGATTGCTCTTGGGTATGCCAAGAATAAAAGTAGAGTCGTACAGTTAAGTGCATAACTTCTAATGATCTTGTCTCCATCAACCAGCTAGAAAACAGAAGCTCCCACCCATGCATCTTCAAAGTGCGGATATATGTCAACAGTTCTCCTGTCCTCCTTATCCTGCCGAGGAGCACAGTTACTGAATATAAATATTGAGAAAACATAACACTACTCTGCAGTTTTTTTTCGGTATTAATATAGCACTTACTACTACTGTTAAAATACCGATTTCCAAAATAAATCATTAGCGTGGAGAAATACACCAGTAAATAGACATGAAATAAATAATAATAATAAAAATTGCTGATCCGGACAAAAATAAGAGTCACATGGCTAGAGTAATGATTTTAAACAGAGAAATCTGTCATCTCATGACAGAAAATAATTTTTAGATTTAAATAAACATATAACCGAAACTATAGTCATTCTTGTTATCTCCTAAATTCCCACAGTAGAATACCCTATACTTGAATTTTCGAGCAGTACATGGCCTGTTGGCTCTGTTTTAAGTTATTAATTGGATTATTTCCAATATTTGTTGGGTCCGGGTGTGACCTGTTGGCACTCAATGGAGCTATTTCAAACAGATGTGGAAGAGTTTCAAAATTCAAGAATTCCAAGATGAAAAGGTTGGTGAATATTTTGTTCAATTTTTTGATACTGATTTTATTTTGTGTCTCAGGACACAAGCAATTTCAATCCTCGACATGACTGGGAGTGTTAGTATGTATGCGCCTTCTGTTAGGCTTGATATACAACAAAATACAATCACTATGTTCGGAGCAAATTTAAATACTGCACAATATAATGAGATAAAAAGTACATATACCTCTCATCTTTCTGCTTCATCATTTTCACTGTAGCACTTGCAATCAATGTAGATATCCATTTATTCACTATAAGGAGAAAAAAGAGTTTCATTCGGATATAAATTGAAAGCATATTTTATCAATTTACTTTATGATATACTTTATCAATATATAAGTGGGCGCATAAATGAACCTAGAAAAATTCCATCTCTAATTTAACAATGACGGCACCAAAACAAATATGGGAGCTCTTATTGGCATTCCAAAAACAGACATCCTAAACCCACTATATGATGGAGATTACAAACCTATACCCAAATATACCCGAATTCAAATACAATTCCAAGTCATGCCCAAAGTCATCCATGCAACCAACTCTCACCTCAAGGGGAATCAGCATACTCTTTACACACTTCTAAGTAAAGTATTGCCACCCTTTAATTACTATTTGATCGAACAAAATCTTTGACTTTCAATAGATGTCATAAATGTTTTGCATCATCTTCACATCTTACAATAAATATAATTGCATAAAATAAAATAAGAAAAAGGCTGCTCCGTTTTTCCCAAATGCCGTGTAAGAATTAGGATATTGAGAGGTACCTGGTATCAGGGAGATGGTAATTGCAATCCCAGCAACAAATGCAAATTTGACTTGTGTATACAGAAGGAACAAAGCCACCCCAATTTGTAAGGGTAAGCTGAAACATTCATTAAAAAAATAGGGTTGATCAGAAAATCATACTCCTAAGATAACGCCATGGATTCGCTTAATGTTCAGAAGAGTGGTGGGAACATAATGATCTAGTTTTCTGATCTCAAAAAGAACATTTAATGGCATGACCCATGCTAACAAAGAATTAAAAATTAAATTAATTATCCAACCTTATGATTTACAGAAATGAGAATCGTCATCATAAATAGAACAAAAACAAAATGAATGGGATCCAAAGAAACATTGATAGGGTAAAATATTAAACTGATAAGAACACACATAAAAGAAGGAATCATATGAGGATCGATGAAACACGGAGCCAGAGCCCATGAAACATACTTTTTCTATGCGAAACATTATTTTATCTAAGAGCTTAAAGTCAGATTACAAAACTTAGTGAACCAGAGGTCCACCTAAAAATGATGCAACCCTCAAAAATAGATCCCAAATACACCTTTTTACATTGTTTTAATACAATTCTAAAAACTATCCTAAAACTGCTCCCCAATGAAATAAATTTACAGAAATGAAAGACCCCTAAGGCTGGAGAGAGAGAGAGAGAGAGAGAGAGAAGACCATAAGGAAGCCCCAAACCTGACTTTATTTATCCCAAGAACTCTCCTCTATATGTAGTTTTAAAAAATTATTCTATCTCTCCAAGCAAATTACCCAAGAGACACAGCGCAATGTGACAAAATTCTTGCCTTCCTTCCACCACCAAAAGACCATACTTTTCATAAAGAATGTTTGAAAGGTGACTAAGGAATAACCTAATTAGCCCCTGCCTCCCTAACTAACCGCCAATACCAATTCTCATCTTTGTTTGGAGCATGGTACCAAAGCCCATGTATGGTTGAATTAGTATGTCTTAGTATATTCAAATCACCTCCCTAACCATTCTGTAAATCTTGTTCCTTCTAGTTGACAAGAGGACTCGTTCAATACTCCATTAGATTTCATTGACACTGATCTCACTAACGGAAGTGTCAATTAATGTCATGGAATTCTTTAGAATGGAGAAAGCTATTTATTTTAACGAAAATGGTATCTTCCATTCGTGAAGCCTCCAACTTTATCAGATGAGAATATGGCAAAAAAATTCTACAGTAAACAACAAATAAAAAGAGTACTAAACAATAAAACAATTATTTCTTAAATTAGTTGTACCTTAGAAGCAAGGGTATAATGCAATAGAAAAAAGGGGCCTTAGGTTATGAAAGATTTTTACACTCAATTTAAAATTAGTAGCTCCAGAAAGGAAAAAATACGGGTGTTGGTGTAAAACGAAACGTTACCTCCACATATCATGGAAACTGTTACACAAGTTGACAGTACGATCAGAATCTATTGCCATGAATGTCTGGATTTCCCCCTCAGTAAATTTTGATCGCTCTGCTAGATTGATACATAGGCACTGGCAAGAGCAAACTTAAGATAAAGCAATGGGAGTTCTTTTAAAGTAGACCAATGGCCTACCCGTAGAAAACAGAGGAAAAAAGAAAATCCCACAGATACATGCACATTGAGTTTGCCAGCTGAATATTTAATTGCAAGTTCCAACAATCCTTTCCCATAATACAGAAATCAATACCTTGATACATAGGAGGAGCTTATTTCAAAGTAATCAATCAGCATGCATGCAAGAAATTTACAATCCGAAGCATAATTATAAATGTCAGTTGACAGACTGCAATATATTGCTACTTGAACAAGGGCAAGCTAGACAATGCAATGAATCATTTTTCTTTTCAGAATATCTGGAAGAACCAAAATGGCATAGAGCTTCTATACTGGCCTGTTATATCCTCTTCTTTCATCAGCACTGTTGGCTCCATCTTGAAGGGGCATTTTCTGTTCAGTACTTTCCTTGACTGTTTTCTTGTAAATGGCAATCATTGTTGGTAACAGCAATGAACCTATCTTTTAGTTGATTTTTCACTTTCATTTAATTTTTCTTTATTAAGCCAACCCAGACCAGAAGATAAAATTAAAAAAATTAAACAGAAACTCTTTTCATATTTTCAATTACTTATAACTGCAAAAGTCAGCAGGCAAGTGACTATGGAAAAAGTTGAGAATTTTGAGAAATGTAGCATTTCATAGAAATCACAAACAAATCCTACATAGCAATGTCCTCAAGGTCATCTCAAGAAAGATAAAGTAAAAGACAATATGGTTCTCTCAAATCATATGTTACAAATTACAATAACAGTCCACAATTATTTCATTTTCACTCAGGTACATAATTTCATGTCCAAACACTTCAATGAAATGGATATAGAAAAAATATACCTTCTGATAGATAACAGTTATGATACTAGATCGTAGCTTTAGCTTCAGTCTCGAAAGATGAAAACTATATTGTGTATCCAAAAACGACCTACAAAATTGGGAAATTTATTCAACAAATTTTACTGTTTTTGACATGTACTGCAAAATAAATACAGACTTGCAAAATTAAAAAATATATATTATATAAAAGAAAAGGACCACACAAAAAAGGTTCCTTTGGATAAAAGAGGAATGCAGCTATGGAAAACACATCAAAAATAAAAGGACATTAGAGTTCAAGAATCAGAATTCTTACTTAAAGATAGATACGAGGCCCAAGGATATTGCAAGAACATAACCATCCCAACTCTCTGAACCTGATAAAAGAAATAGAATAGTGAGTCCACAGTATAAGTTCAAATTCAATTAAAATTTCACAAGGAAGCCCTTAGTGAGCAACAATCAAGGGAAAAATAAGGCCGCCATACGTAGTTTAAACAAAAATGCCATGAACTGGAGCTCAATTGAATGTCAAAATCGAGAAGAGCTCGTCCATTGGATAAGATATCCGATGGCAGCAAGGTCATCAAATGAAATATTGTTTTGTATTGTATTGTTTTATCAGATTCACTAGTTTTGTATTTCAATTTTAAGCTCTTTAATAGAATACTGTTTCTCTTCTTTTTTTTTTAGAAGAAACGAAATTTATTAGCAAAAGAACACGGATGTGGATAAGGCAACCACAACCGAAGAACAAAAACAACACAGGAAGAAACAAACAGCACCCACCCCTCCCAAACTAACAGGGAGGAACAAAACCGAAAAACCACAGAACAACACACCCCCCAACCCTCAATTAACCACAGCTGCCATATCCCTCATAATAGTGGAATAAGAGTAGTCTTTAAAATCTTTTGTTACAGAAGCCCACAAAGCTAACCAGTACTTAATTCTATCCCAAAGATCACTCACTCCCACTCCCTTATAGTCTTCAAAAATTCTCCTATTACGCTCCATCCAAATGTTCCAGAATACAGAGTGGACCAAACAGCCCCATAAGGTTGAAGCGCACTTCCCCGATCCCCAAACCACAAAGTCAGAACAAAGGAAATCAGAGCACCCTTTCGGAATCACCCAAACAGTCCCAACCTCCCTCCACAAGAGCCCCCAAAGACTTAAGGAAAAAGGGCAATGTAAGAAAAGGTGGTCCACACTCTCCTCACAATGCTTACATAACACACACCATTGAGGAGACAGATACATAAATGGTCTTTTCCTTTGGACAAGATCCGAAGTGTTAACTTTCCCAAGCGCCACCAACCAAACAAAGACTTTCACCTTAGGGGGAGACTTGGCCTTCCACACAAGAGAGAAAGGAGGAAAGGTCACAACCCTCCCCTTGTTGCGCAAAAAGGACTGAAAGGGCTTGAAAAGAAAAGATCCCGACTCCTCAAGATCCCACCTTCTCCTACCCCTTTTAGAAGCACACAATCTGAAGCCTTCCAGAATTTCCAACAACTTAAACACCTCGACAGTCTCCCTTTCATTCGGATTTCTCCTAAACCCAAAATCCGAATTATGAGGAAAAACCTGAGAATCAACAAAACAGTCAATGCTTAAGGAATGCTTTGAAGACAGCGCAAACAAGCGCGGAAAAAAGCCCTTCAACAAACCCTCCCTCACCCGACTATCCTCCCAAAACCTGACCATATTTCCATTTCCCACCTCGAATCTGCAGCACTGTAAAAAAGTTTGATAACCCGCCGAAATGTCCTTCCAAGGGTTAAGAGAGGTAACCGTAGTAGCGGGATTAGCATCCCACCCATTAGTAGCTGTCCCATACTTGCTTTTAACCACCATAGCCCAAAGAGAATTAGGTTCCATGGGGTAGCACCATAACCATTTAGCACGCAAAGCTTCATTATTTTCCTTCAAAGAACCCACACCAGGCACACCTTCCTCCTTAGAATTAGCCACCCTCTCCCAATTTACCAAATGATCCCTCTTTCCTTCCTCCACACCTTCTCATAAAAAGGATCTCATAAGCTTCTCCATTTTGTTAACAACACTGGTCGGCATTTTAAACAGCGACATATAATAAGTAGGGATGCTACTCAACACAGCTTGAATCAACGTTAACCTACCCCCTCTAGAGAGAAATGCTCTTTTCCACTTTTGAAGTCTCCTTTGAATCTTCTCAAGCACCGGGTCCCAAAAACCAACAGCTCTGGGATTACCACCGAGAGGGAGACCCAAATACTTCATAGACCAGTCCCCCACAGCACACCCCCAACCACCAGCTAGGCGATTGAGGAAAGGACTGCGCCCAATCCCCACAAGAGAACACTTAGATTTATTGATTTTCAAGCTGGAGATAAGGCAAAAAAAATCCAATAAGTCCAACAGATTAAACCAGTACTTCTCTTTATCCCCGATAAGAAAAATAGTATCATCAGCGAATTGGAGATGAGAAACCTCCACACTGTCCCTCCCAGTAAACAGACCGTGAATCAAACTAAACTCTTGAGCCTTCTCCATAAGCCTACTCAAAACATCAATAAATAGAGTGAACAAGAAGGGGGGTAATGGATCCCCTTGTCTCACCCCTCTAGTAGCCGAATTTGCTACCTCGGCCGGCCATTGATCATGACAGAAAAACTGACAGATTGTAAACAGCCCCTAATCCAACTCCTCCATCTCCCACCGAAACCCTTCCTATCCATAACCTCATCGACCACTTTCCATTCTACATGATCATATGCGTGATCAAAATCAACCTTAAAGACCAAACCCACCTTATTCCGCTTCATGGCTTCCTGGAGAACCTCATTAGAGAATACTGTTTCTCATCAACAACAAAAAATACTGAAAGGTCATCAAATGACAAATTGGATGGAGGCGCTCGCTAGAGCTTTCGCCTTTCCTTTTTTTCTGAATCCAAACCTTCTCTCTCCTTAGAGCTCTCACTTTACCTTGAAGAAAACATTCTAACACATAAATTATAGGGTTAGTTTCATTTTAGTACCCTGAAATTTTCACAGAACGGCATGTTAGAATCCATGCTTTCAATTTTTACACTTTAATACATAGATGTAAGTGCTCTGGACCCTACTAGCATACAAGTTACAATGATAGCAACTCTTGCTCCACCTCTTAGTCATATAGAATCAGAACTAGTACTAAAGATAAACAAGAGCTCCTATGACCTTATTTGTAGAAAACACATAATATCCTGAGCTATACAACTGTAATTACAAAATAGACACACACACACAAGGTTGAGAAAAATATTCACACATTACTGTGAAAGTCCACTACACGCTACAAAGTATTTTTCAGAAAACAAAGTGATGGCATCAATAATACTATAAATCATTTTCCATAAAACACAATAAATGAAAAGGAACCCATCAAATTCTGCAAAACCTTGTTGAAGGAAGCGAATCAGTTTATTGAGAAGCAATGGTGCCGCAAAACCAACACAATCATTGAGTACCTGGAAAAATTGAAATGTTACATGATCTTTTTTCCAATTTGGAGTCCATTTTTTCAATTATTCATTGTTATGAAATCGGTACCATGACTTGCCTATATACAAAGTGTCTAGAAAAGTATATCATTGTTCAAATATCTGACTATCCCACGTATATGGACTAAATAAATTTATAAAGCATGCATTGCGCACAACCACAATGCTTTTACTGTTCATAATGGCTACCCAATATGCTTCTACAATGCAATTCTTCTATTTCACTTCTGTGAACATAAGCATCAAATTCCAGTAATTCTATAATATAAGTGGAGACATTATATGCTGACATGAATTATAAAGCACAAATATGTAAGAAACCGATTCTACGAGTAACAAACTGCCAAGGACACAGTTACGTATCTCAAAAGTAAAACAATTTCTGCAAAATACTAGTGTTCTTTTCAGTTTATTTTGTTTTACCATGCTACTTTTTTTTTATCACACTGAAGAAAAATTTATGACCAACAAAAAGCGGTAGCATATTAATTAACCAGAAATATGTTTAAAATTCATCCCCTTCGCATTTTATTGTACTTCAAAGAAAATAGGAGGAAAATCCATTAGCAGAAATAAGTACCTTCAACAAGCCCAGACGAAAGTATGGCCATCCATATGCACAACAGATTGCCCTAAACAGGGATGGATCAGGGCAACTACTCTGTTGGGATTGCCAACAGCTAAGCAATGTATCATGACACGAACAGGGATCCATATCAGTAGGAAGCTGAAGCAAATCTTCAAAATCAAGCTGCTTTGTGACACCATGATTCATCACAGAAGTGATAGATCTGAATGTCATAAGATCGAAATAGCTCTGAGCGTCTCCCTTAGACAATCAATAAACATTGTAAGTATGAGCTTAATAGTTACAACTTCAAAATCAAGACTACTAACAAACAACATAGAGGAGAAGGCATCTCGTTCTCAATGGTTACAAATTTAAAACTGAAACAACTACCTAAGGAAATAACCAGCATCAAACCCTTCAGTTTAATTCATCTTGATTGTGTGGGATGAGCTGAATGTAATGTAGTTACAGCTATTCTCTGGTCTGGTGAGAATAAATGGACATGATACATCTCCCACTTATTTAACAAAGGTTTTAAATGGTGTGTTCTTCATACAAATGTGAACTAGAAAACCGCCAAATCATAAACAAAAGAATATGAGAAAGCACATTCTTGGACTATCATATTAAATCATATGCTCAATGATGATTGCTATATGTGATGCAAAAACTGTGTTGGCCAACATGATATGTGGATGGAACATTATTGTTTGATTTGGTTTATGGTTTTCTATGCTGTTCACCTTTCATTCATAATTTTCTTGCACGGTACTAAATCATAGATGTAATCATTCATCAAGAAAAACCATTAGGAATTACTGATTGGAGCATGTCAGTATCTATATTAATACTTACTACAATGTAAAGTGGAACTTGAAAATAGCGTAGGAAGCCAAAGGGCAAAATCAAATACCCAAATTTAATGAAATTTTTTTATAACACAAACATTATTAATACAAATGGAAGAAATATACAAGTAGGATGGATGAGAAAATCCACGATATCCAGAAAAACACCCCCAAGCAAAGAACACATATTATATTCAAATTAAAACTCTCCCCAATCACGATGAATTACACCTAAAGGAATATCTCTAAAAGTTTCTGACCAAGACACCCAAATTATACACACCCAAAATCATAATAATAAAATAAATTTGATGTCTGAATCTTATTGTCGTAGGCATTTATTCAGTAATATTTTGATAAAGAATACTTGTAAAGGTAAAAATATTTGCATATAGTTGTCATCTATACTACCGCAATAAAGGTTACAGAATTTAACTCGACTGAACCATAAAAAATCTAAGATGGAGGAAGAGCACATCTTTAATAAAAGAATGAATGGTTAAACAACAACGTTATATGTGAAAAAAAAAATAAAAAAATAAAAAAAAAATTAGATACATGGTGTTTCCAGAAAAGATGTATCGTTACCAGTATTTACTTACAAGCTACTTGTTAGTTGTTAGGTGCTACCCTTGAGAGCAAAATTTACCAAACAATAAAAAATAATAAAAAGGATTTTTCGCAGCTATGGTCTCTCAACTATACCCGTAATTGCATTTGGGTCACTGAACTCAATTATTAGTTGCAGAGGTCACTCAACTATGTGTTTCGTTGCACCAGCAGTCCTTCCGTCAAGTCCGTTACTTTTTTCCGTTTAAAATGATGACGTGGCAAGATCTATCCAATTATTGATGGGAAAATGTGACTTTTCAGTTAGGATTATTTGTAGCAATGATCCCTCAACTATACTCGGAGTTACATTTTAATCACTTAACTCCAAAAAATAGTTATAGAGGTCACTCAATTAGGTGTTGTGTTGCACCATTAGTCCCTTCCATTAGAGAGACTTGACGGTAGGGACTAACGGTGCAACGAAACACATAGTTGAGTGACCTCTGCAACTAATAATTGAGTTCAGTGACCCAAATGCAATTACGGGTATAGTTGAGGGACCATAGCTGCGAAAAACCCTAATAAAAAATATACATTCAAGAGTTTCATATCACACCATTAAGCGTAATAGCTAAGAAAAAGTAGCATGACTGTACACAACTTACAGATTCATTAAGGCAGCCTTCCTCAACATCTGTGTCAGCAGAAAGAAGTGAATCTTCCAGAGAACTGCAATTTAACCAAGCAAGCAGGACAGTTAAAGTATCTGAAATAAAGGATTAGGATTAGGCTGTGAAGGGATCAAGTCTATACAAGAAGAAATTACACAGAGAGAGGGAGAGATCTGAAAACACCCCAATGAAAGGAAACTTGCAACTTTTGCTTTCCAATACTCTCTAGGTCATACTCTTCATTGCATTGATGAGTTATTTTTTGTATAGTATTTCATCATTTTATGAATTTCAACTCCCTACTCCATCAGGTTGAACTCACGATCATTAGGCTACATCTGTGGTCTTATCCAAAGTTTGTATCATGGATGTAATTCGACCAGTATCTCAATTTACAGTACAAATTGCACACAATGTTTTCTTCGCAACTATGATCAGAAAGAAAAAAAAAATTAAAGGAAAGAATTAAGTAGCTGGCACCTTCTCTTGTATGATGCCTGCTTTATTCTGATAATGTTTATTGATATGCCAAAGATGATGTCTAATGAAACAGTACAGATCTCTTTAACGCATAACAAGACCTGTCAGAAAGAACTTCTAAAAATTATTAATTCCATTTTAAAAGCAAAATAATCAGACACCATTTCTAGAACCCAAGTATTTAAATCAACCTCGTAGAGTTGAGACTAGACGCCACAAAGAACCATTATAACCACTATTTATTTCTTTGGAACTTTATGAGAAGCAGATTGATAATTAAACATAAGTACCATAAAATATCGAGTTCATTCAACAACAAAATTTATCTATCTAATCTTAACCTGTCAAAAGCTGGGCAAGTTGGGTACGTCTTATTACCAAAGCTAACCAATTGCAAAAAGAAAATGTCCACCTTACCAGACAACATCCTTTATATAATCTCTTCTTTCAAAGAGTTTATTGGCCTTATAATCTTGTCTTCATCATGGACTGGAATTTTAACAAGACGAAAACTACATTGAACAACAAAATGGCAATAAAAAGCTGCTAAAAAGGAATGTACCTGGAATGAGGGATATGCTGTGAGCAAATGAAGTATTCCCAGAAGCAGTTTTACAATCCACCAGAAACACAAGATCCGGTTGCAAAAAATGCAGCAACCATTGAAACACTTTGAGAAGAGTATGATAAGAGTCTACATTTTTTTTTTTCAAAACATGACTAAGTGAAAATTCTGAAAAAATCATAACATGCTGTTAACATGTCACTGCAATAAAAAGGGAAAGAAAGGGGGAAAAAATACCTTACCCATAATGCAAACTGAGAACATCTGAAAAACCATTCATGATGTGCGATAAAGAAGCCATGATGTGCTTTATTCAATAGTAAAGCAATGTCCAAAAAGGATATACATGCTCCAATGGCAGGAAGAAAGAGAAAGAAAAACTTTTCCAGAAAATTCATCTGAGGAATAATTGTGAAGCCATCAGTATTATGTAAAAATCTTCAAAGGAAATTATAATGTAGAGTCCTTGTCTCACAACTCTAGAATTCTCCTTTTGTTATAAATGAGAATTTGTAGAAAAATAAATAAAAATATATAATATACACTAGAAGGAGGACATTTGACAAGCGAACCTGAAAACACCAACTAAAAACAGAATACATGTAAAAGAAGTAAAATATCTAGAGGCTTCCATCCAAATTAAATTTAAGCTCATAGACTAGTATGCTCAGTATGGATAACATGTCTAATTTAACAAGAAATTTCTTCTATAAAAAATTAATAAATTGGCAGGTCCAATATAACTTGATACTGCTTCTATAACGAGGAATAGGAGTATAATAAGGATTAAGGATGTAAATATCAAGGTGAGATTTTAGACTACTAGTTCATTTCTTGTTATGAAGTGTAATAAAAAGTTAAGGATCAGCACATGGTATTGAGGACTTGAAGGTTTTTTCATGACCAAGGTCATGGCTCATAAGCACTTACCGAGGTTTAGTGAAATACATGATACTTATAAATCAGATCAATCTTAAGTGATAAAGGCTTAAACTAGGTAGAAAGTGGAGCTTCAAGCCACATGCACTGTTTCTAGGAACAGTGACAGGTTAATTTCAAAATAGAAATCATGTCATCTATTTAAAAGTTTCATAAGGTTGTAAAACTAGATAAGGCATAAAGTTTAAAGAAGTAGAATCACCCTTTACATACATCTGAAAGTTGAATTAGTGATTTATTTAGTGGATTATCCCTTCATAAAAAGCATTATGACAAATGGAAAGATAGGTAAACACACATTCAGACACAGAGTGAGAAGTGAACAAGAAAGCGTGCGAGACAGAGGGGGGTAATCATTTAAGACTAAAATTTTCAAGTATATTCAGATAACTCAACATCCGACTGTTCAAGCGATGAATCTGCCTTCCAGAAGAAGAGTTGGGAGTCTTCAAAAAGGAATTTATTATAAACTAAAACATAAAGCATGTAAGCTTCAGTTTCAATAGAAATGTTAAAAGAAAATTAAGAAAATAAAAAGAAACAACAATAGAGATTAAGTTTAGTACTGAAAAGACTTTTCACAATGAGAAAATGAAATGTGCCCGTTTCACTATCTTTGTCGAGTGTGCATTTATGTAATGTTTGCATGCATAATAAACCTTAAACTCAGGGAGTGGCATGCTATGGTTCAGAGAGTCTTATTGTAATTGGCTTTCCTTATTTTCTTTCATTTTTTCTACATTTTCTGAGAAACAGAAAAAGAATGCTTCAGGAGAGTGTAGTTATAGCAATGCAAGTAATATACTCTTGCATTCTCAACAACCAAGAACAACATAAATAAAACCCACCATCCGACTTCTTTTGCCAGTCCTTTGATTTATTCCAAGTACAGCAATCATAACAATAGTCACTGCATTTGCACCAAAACCTAAAACAGTAGGGACTGTTAAGGAGAAGCAGTTAATAATTGACATAACAGGTTCATCTTATCAAACATAATTCACACTAAACACCAAACTCCAAAGGATATATGTTTCCAAAACACTTGGAAAGTCTGCTCCCATCCCATACCTGAAAAAGATGGCAGTAATTTACAATGAAAATCAGTTAAATTCATTACTGTAAGAATGGAATTATATTATTCTGTATAAATTCAGAAAACCAATTGAGCTATTAGTTTCCTTGCCTCAATAAAGCGCATAGGAAATACAATAATTACAGTAATTAGAAACATCACCAAAAACTGAAACAGAGACCAAGTCTACCTGGCACTGAAAACTGAGGAAATACAATAGAATAAATTATTAATCTTTTCAGTCTTAATTTAATAAGGCTTTTGGAGAAGATATGAATTATCACTTTAAATCAACTCAATTCAGTGTAGACCAATTTATATTCTCTGGGTTGTCCCATAAAATTAAAAAGAACATATAGAATTTTAAATTTCTTAAAAAATTTCCTCATTTTTTTCAGCAACCAAATGCAGCTTTTTTTTCCTTCGGGTGATCAAACTGACGCTCCGCGTTTGGTTGATGAGAAAAGGAAATTTAAAGAAACAAAAACTACAGTGAAAACTGAATAACAAAAGAATAATCACACTGAGTTCACTTCTTTTCCTTTCTACTAAAGAACATTTTCTTAGCTTCCAAACACAGCATATGAGAGAAATTTTAAAATAAAAATAAAAAACAAAACAGAACAGGAAATTATGCTGACTAAATTCAAAGAAGATGCGCGGAAGAAAGTAGAAGAAGATAAAAATAGAAATGAACAGAGAGAGCATACGGATGGAGAATTAGGGCAAATCAGGTTCATGAAATCGTCCATTTTCTGTTGCTTCGTTTCCTTTGCAGAGAAAAAGTGACCGGTTTCTTCAAGCCACAAAGCTGCAGAGTGGCAATGTTACATGACCCAAAAGAAAAGGAAAAAAAAAAGTTAAAAATTAAAACAAAAACAAAAAAACAAACATAAAAGCGAAACCCAAAAACATAAAAAAGAGTTAAAAAAAACAAGAGAGCACATTCGATGTCACGTGGACTGGGGATGGGACGAGAATGTCGACCAATAAATAAATAACATAACAATGTGAATGTCGTCCACCAAAAAATCAATAAAATAGGAATGCGAATGTGGACCCAAATATAAATAAAATATAATCTAAATTAGAATGAAAATCGAGAGATTCAGAGAAATGAATTAGAACGAAAAGGGAAATTGAAATGCGAATTAATAATAAGAATGAGAATATAATTAGAACGAAAAGGGACAACTCTTAATAGCATTGTTTGGTTTTGATGCTTGTGACTTGAGATTTGAATTTTGGGTCAAGCCTATATGTGAAGTTCTACTGAGTTATTGTGAAGTGAGAAATTGAAAGAGTTCTAGTGGTATTTAGCCCTGCTTAATTGGGATAAATTTGGAAAGAAAAAAAAAAGAGTTTGTGTAATACATTAATAACATTGTTTTAAGAGAGAATGTTGCTAGCATTTCCCCGAACGATATTGGGGAGGGAGAGTCGAACACGTTACCATAGCTTCGACTCCAAATTTGAATACCTTTTCTTTGGCCAAAAAAAAAAAGATGCATTATTTATTGTGGAGTGATGAGTGAGGGTCAATTAATGAGATTAACTAGTTTTAACAATCATTAAGCACTAACTATACCCTTGTCTCCCTTAACCTTGTCAGATTGGCTGTAAAAACCCAATGGTTTTCTCAAATCATTCTTCTTGCGAAAGAATTTAGTACTGTATGGTATCTATAACATGAGTTTTCAAATTAAGAGCAGACACACATTTCTGCACTCATTAAATATTTAGTGTAATTTTTCAGATTTATTAACAGAGCAAAAAGATTCAATTAAGTCCAACGAGAAAGTAGGAAGGAGGAAACCACAAAAAACAGGAAAAGCTAAAATGAATTCTGCAGGAAAAAAATGAAGAAGCAATGGCATTGAAGTATATTCTGCAGAAAGCCTTTCCTAAACCAAACAACAGATGGAAAACAAGTAAAACACATAGCTAAGAAAGAAACTAACGGCAACATAATGGAGATCCTCAGTTGCTCCAAGTTTTTTTTTTTTTTTTGAACCTGTTTACCTTCATCGTCTAGAAGGCGATTCAAACTTGGAAGTGGTATGCGCATGGTGTTACGACTAAACAAAAGTATACAAAAATTAGGACAGAAGCCTACAAATGCTTTAAGACCTAATATAAACAAAACCACATACAGCAAATCGTAGCCAAGGATTCTGCAGAAGTAAAAGCATTGAAATGGTGAAGTAACATGAAAAAGTAAAATGAATTTTGCAGAGATTCAAATGATTTGAATCCAATATGGTAGCTTATTTATAAACCTGCCACTTGTGGTGTGTTGAATGGAATTCAAGGGACTGTACAAGTAGCAAATATGACACCATTCCTTTTCCAGAATTAGGCAAACACAGAACTAATAAAAAGAACTTATACTTTGCATCATTCAACTAGTATATAAATTTGAATTTTTTTTTACAATTTCGTGGCTATGAACTTGAAATGAATAATTTCAAGTCATCGACTTTACAAATAAAAAAATATACAAGAATAAAGAATCCTAATGTCCAGCTGGTATCTCAAAACCCGGTAGGGGATGAATTCTGGGAACAATGGCAGTGCTTGCACGGTAATCTGCTTTCGGTATGAAGTAAGAGACCCCATATGCATAGCCCAAAGATGAGTTGACCACCTTCAACTTGGCATGACCCGCTCTTGATGGTTGAGGCGGCGCTACGAATGGATGAGACAAGAGCCTTTCCGCTGTTGATCTTTCACAGGACCTCATGGCAAGGCAACTCTTGAGAAAATCCCTGGCCACATCTGAGATCTCAGCCGGAATTTTGGAAGTACGTAGATGATCAAACACCGTCACGTCGACGGAATTGTCAAGATCACAACCAGGCTTCAAATCCCAGGGGGAGTTTCCGGTTAGCATCTCAAACACAATACAACCAAGAGCCCAAATATCACACGACTGATCTTGCTTGTTATCAAATAAAGCCTCTGGGGACAGATACCTAGTAGTGCCTCTCCACCGACTATAGTTGTCCTTGGTTTTCTTAGCCAACCCAAAATCTGCAATCTTGGCTACAAAACTAGTTGTAGCACCAGACCTAGCTGTAGTAGAAGTTGTGGTAGTGGTAGGCACAAGCAGAATGTTGTCCGGCTTCAAATCGCAGTGAACATAGTCACACTTGTGAATGTGTCTAATTCCTTCAAGAATTGACCTTGTATATCTTCTAACATCGTATTCAGGCAATCCAAGACCGTTGGATTTTTGTATGAGCCCATCAAGGGTTCCTCCAGAAGCAAATTCTAGCAACAAGTTGTAGACCTTGTCACCCTTGTCTGTGGTTGTGGTCTCTTCACCAAAGCGCTCGATAATGAAAGGGCAGCCCTTGATCTCAAACAGAACCTCTGCCTCATGTTCAACAGACTCCGAAGCAGACACCTTTGCCGATTTGACAGCCATCACTGCAGGCAAATTGACCATACGGCTAAACTCACCCCTTCTTCGTTTCTTGGGAGTAGCAAGAAAAACAGAACCAAAGCTTCCTTCTCCAATAAACTCCCCTCTCTGCCAGTGCCCTCCATGACTCCACATGCTGTGCTTTTCCCCTTCTAATTCTTCTTCAACCTTTCTTTTCATTCTTCTTCTTCTTCACTCAGTTCTCAGTTCTCTATTTTCTCTCTCCAAGGAAATAAGTATTTCTCTGGAAAAAATTAGCGACTTGCTTGATTGATTGTTCTCTATAATGCTTTATAGTATTGGTTTAGGGAATAGGAAGATGTATGGAATGTGTGGTTTATTAGGGTTAACGAGATGTATAAAGTCGGTCAGGTTTAATTGATGCTTTTATAGGTTTTGATTTGTGACGTAGCCACCAAGCTACTAGCTAACAGACAAGAATTTCCACAATACCTTATCTTCGTTTTTTTTCAATATCGATTTGTTATTGGTCTGAATTTTTTAACGTTTAAAACGGAGAGAGGAGAGAGGAGACTTGACAGCTGTGGAACGCAAAGATAGAAACCTTTCCTAACAAGAAAAGGAGTTAAATTTATTCTTATTACTTTTTTGATGGAACAAAAGAAGTTCAAATTTATTGAAGAAACATTACCCTCCGCTTACTGACAAGGAAAGGAATTACCCTCCGCTTATCACAAGATAATATGGTAATTATCTACAAAACCATATTTTATTGTAGCAAGATTTTGGAGACTTGGATATCAATGTTGTAACAAATGGATACATTGGGAAATCTTTCCTGACAAGAAAACGAGTTGAAATTTTAGTCCAAGCCACGTAGGCACACAACGACATTCTTGATGATCTCACTAATGGAGTGGGAAAAATGTAAGTTTTTTGGGAATTTGAGTATGGAGTTATAGCAATGCAAGTAATATACTCTTGCATTATCAACAACCAAGAACACATCCCCATCATGAAAGCACATGCTCTCTTTGGGCATCCTCATCTTCTGACCATTTTGCAATTTTTCTATTTGAGATATGATATATGTAAGCCACAGGTTAGTGTCCTAATTGTATACTTGTTAAAATTACCAGCAACATAGTTTGACTCATCAAATACAGACTACAAGTTGAAGCTTCAATGAACTTAAATTACAACTCATGCATTATGAAAAAACAGAAACATTATAACAATCAAGCATAAAAATGAGAAATCCTTCAAAATAATGTAAATAAAGCTCAAATTCTTACTTTTAAGAACTTTTGGGTGCAGCCATGAATGAAGGATTCAAGAAGGCTTGCTAATTGAATAAAATCAAACTTCTTTTTTTTTTGGTTGAAATAAAATCTATTTATTGTTTGATAAAAATAAGAATATAATTCTCAAATAATATACCTTCATTAATATGATGAACAATTTTGATTGAGAAAATGTTATCTTAAAAAAAAAACAAATTATTTATTTTGTTTATATACATTATAGATAAATTTTCTCCTTTTTAATATTTGAAATAGGTAATCAAATCAATCATATTACAAGAAAAAAAATTTCATAGCTTGCTACATATTTTTAATTTTCTAGCACGTCAAATCATCCTAAAATTTGATACGCTATCAAACTTCAAAGTTTAATAAGTAATATAAATTAATAATTACCACCCAAAAATTCAAATTGAAAACCTTATCTGGTTATTAGCCAATGAGAATACTATACATCTAATATAAAAATAAATATACAAGTGGTTGGTCTCGTTCAATTTAGGCCAGTTAAATCTCAAAACTACAGTCAAATCAAATTGGGCACTACAATCAAACAATATTATAGAGCATGGCCCTATTTGGTGTCAAATCCTTCTCACATGTCATGGCATGAGAGCCAGTCAGATATTGTACAAACATGTAAAAAAGACTGATTTTTTTGTTATTAATTTTTTTTTTTTTTTTTTGGTAAGGAAAAAAACAATAGCAAGACCACAACTCCCAAGAGACAAAACAAAGGAAATAACTAGCAACCTAGACATAGGCGAAACTAAAAATGAAGTCTAACAAAGGAAGCCTAAAAGCCAATTTCCCTCACACTTACACAAACTTTCCAATGTGCCCTAACTATTACGATAATAATAAAAATAAAACTAAAAATGTTTGTGGCATTCAAGGTTTGACTTATATATATAATGAAACGACCTGATTCAATTTCCACTTTGGAATCCGGGTCGAAACCTGTTTAAAACTGACACCTGGTGACTGTGGGTCATAAATGACCAAAATGTCCTGAAAACGCTAACACAAACTCTGGGGCCCTAACTCGTGGCTGCGCCTGGTAACTATAGGCTGCCTACGTACCCTTACTGAGGGATCAAGCCACACGTAGTTCTCTCACCTGCCCCTGACCTGTAACTGGTTCAGTTACTGTAAACCTCACTTTAGGGCTGACAATCCTGGAGTAACCGGGACTCTGTTTTACGATCTGTCAACTACCATACGATCCTGGAAATACCTGGGTCAACATACCTGGACCTAACAACGATCCAACGGCTCAAACCTGCTAAACCCGAACTCACACACTAGGCGAGATCCGTGAGGGGTTCAAACGGTATCTGAATTAATATCCGCGAATTCCTATGCGCTCATGACGACCCAAGGATCATTCTGGAACTGAATGGAGTCTCGACCAATCTGCCCACGCGCCGCCACACACGCTGGCAGCGCGTGGGTGTCCTAAGCGATCACGCCTTGCCAAAAAACTCAACAACTAGGCTCAAGACTCCTATCCTAGGTATAACACCCTATTTGGAGCCACTTTTGTTCTGGGACCTACCCCAAAAAGTGGCCGGAAGTGGCTGAAACTACGATCTCAAAAGCGGCCGAACCCTAGGTTCGAAATTAACCCTCTCACGCTAGAAATTCCTCAAATCCTACTCAACCATCAGCTAGCTCATTAAAAATAGCTAAAAATTCATACCTCACACGACCGGATTGGTGGCCGGAGGAGGGAAAAATCGCTGGCCAAAGTTCTGTCAAAAACCGGTCGGAAACCATGGTTTTTCCAACGGTTCGAGGCGGCAGGCGGCGGGAAGATGACCGGGCTAGGTCGGCGGAGTGACGCCGGTGGTCATGGGTCCGGTCCGATGAGTCGAGGTGGCTGGGAGGAGAGGACGAATCGGACTGAACAGGGGGGGGAGATCGGGAGAGAGAGAAGCTGAGGGTTTTAAAAAAAAATCATGATTTCCCAAAATTACCATTTTGCCCTTGAGCGTATTTTGACCGTAATTTCTTCGTTATAATTCCGATTCGAGCCTAATACGTGTCTACGGACTCGTTTTGTCGCGCTCTACGCAACGGTGTAAGTGAAATGGTCAAATTCTTTCTCGGTCAAAAAGTCAACCTTTTCCTCAATAAAATATTCTAAGGGCATTTTAGTCTTTTCCTCCAATAAATTAATAATTAAATATTAATTTTAGGTTTGGGTTGTTACATATAAGGTCAGGCTTGGATTTGGAAATTGTATATGATTAGATATCTTGTGGAGCTGTGAGATATTTGTTGCGAATAAAAATGTTGAGGAAACGCAAAGAGCTTATAGTTTAAGTGAACGAAGAGGAAGAAACAAAATCGCAAAAATATGAAAAATTATTATGTAATGGATGCGGAAAGCGTATTTTAAACAATATATAGACCACTAAAACCTACAACAAGTGGAAAACAACTCAAATATTTGTATTTCAAATACAAAGTGATAATGTAACAACTCAAATTATGATTTTGGTCTTTGCAGTTTGGTTAAGCTCCATTTTGGTCACTCTATTTTTAATTGCTACAATATGAATCGTGTAGTTTACTAATTATTACAATTTAAAGACAAAGACTTAATTATGAAAACTTTTTATATAGAATTAGCACACTCTATGGGTGTCTATGATGTTTTCACCCTTACAAGAACCCCAGTTAACTCACTTAATAATTATGTTAAAAAAAGTGACGTAATTAAGTTATAGTTCTTAAACTACAACAATTAATGAACTATAAATAAGTCTTAAGTTACAACAATATTATTCATAATTCTCTTCTAATCGATGCTTGTAACTGGGGTTAGGCATTACATCTTCCCGTTCTTTTCCATTTGGTGGTTAATAAAGTTCCCTCGTACCGTTGAGGTTCCTACAATTTGATTTAAACTATAACAACCAAAATCGTAATTTGACAAAATTAAAAATTAGAAGAGGTAAATAAAAATTACAAATTTATAAATAAACCCAATTCTAGACATGTATTTATAAAAAAACCCAAACACTATTTAAACATAGAAACACACCCAAAATCAACCCCAAAATCAATAATTATATATTTTTTGGGTGTATTTATAAATGGGTTTTGAGTGTGTGTAATGATGGGTTTTGGGTGTGTTTATAAAGTGTTTTGGGTGTTGAGTTTTTTTATAATTTTAGCCCCCATTTTGGGTGTTTTAGTGAAACTCCCAATAAAAATTGTCAAAAGTGTCGAAGTTCAATTGTCTCAAAGTTTGAGGACCCAACAGCAACAAAGTCCACAAAAGAATTCCTTATCATCATCATCTAATCCATTTCGGCTTTTTTTTCCCTCCTCTTCTGCCTCACAGCAAAACCAAATCAACCACAAAACACAGAGATGGCCATGCCCACCATGGCCTTCTCATCGTCACCTTCCATTCTCTCTCCACATTGCTCAACTCATCACCCTCTTGTTCTCTCCCACACTTCTCTCTCTTCATTACCCAAAATTGCTACTGCCCTCTTCAGCTTCTCAACTTTTCAAACGCTTCCAAAATTCCCGTTGAATAGTAACAAAAGAATCCAATGCGCTGAAAAAGGCTCTTCAGCTTCAAGTCTTGATCCCAGGTCCGGAGTTTCAGTCTACAAGCCCAAGTCCTATGAAGTTCTTGTCGCTGATGCTGCAAAATCGCTTGCTTATGCTCTTGAAGATGGAAAGACCCGCTTGGAGATTGATTTTCCGTTAGTTTTTTTGCCCTTTTTGTTTGGATTTTTTGAAAAGTTCTGGGTTTTGAGAAAGTCGATGAGAATTTGTGGAAGGTTTTGAAGTAGATATTGTTTGGATTTTCGGTCTTTGGGTTTTGTTTGTTTCTTGGGCACTAACCAAAATTGATATGGTATGCATGATCCATAACGTGTTACCGTTATGATGTTGAGCACACTGCAAGTTTGGTATTATGAATAACTTGCCATCTAGAAGAAATATGGAAAATATCTTAAAAAGGTTGAGAACTTTATGAAAATTAATAAATAGAACAAGACGTTTGGGAAAATTGCTTGATGGAAATAAAGAACCTAAATTTGGCTAAGATAGGGATGCCTGATAAAGAAAAACATTATCCTGGAGGTGCTTTAACTGTAATTTAAAATGTTTGCGGAAGCTTGTTAACTAGCTTTTATATTTAATAGAAATGAGGTTATGTAATTTAGAGACTACTATATCAAGGAATTACTTTTCCTATCAAACCATAGTAATGTGAGTTCATTCCTGTTTGGTATTCCACTAGGAAATTTTGGTTAGTTGTATCTTATTGTTTAGGCGTTCTAGTGGCTTTCATATATTCTCCTAATACTTGTTCTTTTTCATGTACCTTATTTTTTCGAGCTTGTGCCTCCAGACCCCTGCCTAGCAACATATCTTCTTATAAGGTATCTCTCTTTGCTACAAAATTATTAGATGGCTGGATGACCCATCATGGTTTACACCTGCTTACTGGAGATTGTTTTCACATATTGATTGTAAAAGCATCCTGCTTTGACTCCATTTAGTCTTCACAGTTGTTTGTTGATTTGTTATTTTTCTGTCAGTCCTTATTTTTGATATAGTAAAAGGCTTTATAATCATGCTCTGCTTATGCCCCAACCCCAAAGAAAAGATGCTATACTATACCCTACTATCATTGTTCTTCTTTGATTTCCTCTTATCAGTCACAGTGATATAGCTTGTTGATGACACATAGCAATCTGAATACATGAGACATGATTTTCTCAACTTCCTAAACATGTAAAAGGGGTCTTCAGATGACTTCATTGATGCCAACGTACAACTGGCCTTGGCTGTTGTAAGGAAGCTCAAAGAAAAAAGGGAAACGAGAGCTTGCATTGTAAGTTGAATTTTTGTTTCATATAGACATTTTATATCTTCCATTTGAAGAGTATGTTAACAAGATTTCTTTCTTCAGGTGTTTCCTGATAAGCCAGAAAAGCGCAGGGCCTCTGAACTGTTTAAAACAGCTATTGACACGGTAAAAAATAACTCATGATTTTACTAATCGTTAATTCTTTTTATGTAATCAAGTGTATCAGAATCTCCTCAGCCAACAAATTCAGAATTGGTATAGTGGATTGGGATAAAATTTTGATTCACAGAAAAAGGCTAAAAAAAGTAAAATACATTTCGTAACATGCTTTTAAATAAAATTTGCATTTCTTATGAAAGAAGTAATGTACACTTGTTGATTTGTAGAGATTTTAAAATTTACCAAGTTTGTTATGTGTTTATACCTTTATCTTATAGCCACGAGAACTATTCACAAAGCAGATTACAGTTCAACAACTCCTTGTATCATTGTTTTCATTCTGATTTTTTTCTTCAGCTCGATGACATAACCATAGGTTCCCTGGATGATGTCCCTGGTGGTCCAGTCACCAACTTCTTCAGATCTATAAGGAACACACTTGATTTTGACTTTGAAGATGAAAATGAAGGTTGGTCATAACTTATAGGACTCAAATGCTTGCTTGTTTTCCCTTTTCAATTGATTGCTTGTATCCCTCTTCTTAGCCTTCACCTCAACTGAAGAATTTTCATGCTAATTTGATAGTTTTTTTTTTTTTTTTTTTTTGGTTCAATGCATGATCCATCTATATAATGAAGAGTATTAACTTTTTTTTTTTGGTGAACAAAATAATCATCCTACAACACCGGGCACACATTGAAGCGTATTAACTTTCATCTCTATGTCATCTCGTAAAATTGCAGGTCGTTGGGCATCCAATGAGCCTCCCTCTCTTTATGTATTCATTAATTGTAGCACCCGTGACCTTGCTTCAATAGAGAAGTATGTGGTATGGTCTCCTCATTGTTAGCTCTCTCAACCATTTTGAAGTTTTGACTTTCAAATATAATTTCAATGCATTTTTTGAATGAATGCTCTTTCCGACCATTAACTTTTGTTCTACCTATATACGGTTTTTATGCCTGATGATTGTATACTTGTATAAGAATTAACTATGATCTTACAACTTCAATTCTTTTAATGTTTTTTTGGGGTGTCATGACTTGTTGATACTTACTAATTACATTAATTAATGTTTCTCAATGATAATATTTTGGTAAGAATCAGTTTGATACGAGTTCATCTCTCTAGTGATGCAAATTCATCTATTGGAATCTAAAAACCACTGTTTGATCTAGAAATCTAGAAACAGACCCAAAAAGATATAGAAAATCAGGAAGATGGGCACAATTGGGGAAAGATTTGAATGCATGTACATATTCTTATCTATATGTTTCAACAAATTTATTTGCATTCAAATTCAGCCATTTCGAGACTATGAACTTGAAATTTACAGCTCTAGAAATTGAATGTGCTAACACTGGTTATTTGTGATATATTCAATATGTGCTCCCATTTGCATTCCTGGATCTGTGGTGTGTTGTTTTAAGACTAATGTTGGCTGTGTTTCTCCCTAAAATGTAGTGGTATGTGTATCTTTCAACATGCATGTGCTCTTTTTTTGTTGTTGCATATTTACTAAACTCCATTCAGGGGAAATCATATGATCAGTTTATATTTGCATTTGCTGGCTGCCTGAATTAACCATGTACAATAAACTAAGAAAATTGTAGTTCGTGGGCATCTGAAAATGTGCAGGCATCTTATGCTGTTTCCTGGCTACATAATCTTATTCCAGAGTCTAATTAAGTTTAGCATAGAGTCTAATGGTGTCATTGTTTTACTCTAAGTTTGAAGTTGTATGTAGCCTGAATTTGACAATTTCACATGTTAATCATGAGGATAATCTGGTTCCTCTTTTCCTACTGTGACTCTTCGAGATTTGCAGGAAACATTTGCCATTTCAACCCCGACACTTCTATTTAATCTTGAACTCGACACATTGCGGTAATCCTTATGGACCATACATCCAAATTTGATTTTGCTATTCTCTGACTATAATTTTCATTTTCAATTAGAATCTGTTAATTATGCAGTGCTGACTTGGGCCTTGTGGGCTTTCCAACCAAAGATTTGCACTATCGCTTTCTTTCTCAATTTATTCCAGTGTTCTATATCCGAATAAGAGAGTACTCAAAGGTATAATTTATTTACCTTTAATAATTATTACTTGTTTTCTTTCTTGATTTAAATTTTTTGGTAACCATTCATTTGTTAACTCCTAAGACAGTAGCAGTAGCACCTTATATAGTGAATTACAATGGAGCATTGTTTCGCCAATACCCTGGTATGTATTAAAAGATTTCTTATATACTGGATTATTGCTTATTCTTTATCTTAACTTTCATAGGTTTATAAATCTATTTATCCCAACAAATTGGACGACAGTCCTTAGATCGTTTAGATGATATGATAACGTCTTCTTGGAAGAACGATTAAAGAATAATCCAAAGTTATTTTAAGTTATGCTAATTTATGCAAGACCTGTTATTCACATCATAGTGGTTTCTCAGCACTGATGCTGGTCTGGACTTGATGAAGAATACATTGTCAATGTTTGAGAGTCTTGATCAAGGGATTTTGTTCAGAAGTCATCTAATACTCACCTTCATGGTTGGCCAGATTAGGAAAGGACAGGTGTAGTGGTTACATGATGAACAAAATATATAACCCAATATTAGCACATCGTGCAATATTTACTTATTTTCTTTGGACAGTTTAGGGCCCGTTCGTTTAAGTTTTCAGCGCCCGTTTTCATTTTCAAAAAACAAAAACAAACCAAGAATCCGTTCGGTGGACTAAAACAGAAAACACTGAGAATGTTTTCATAAAATGAAAACAACATCACGTGTACTTCGGAAAAACAGAAAAAATATGTTTTCATTCTCACAGAAAACAAACGCCTAAAACATAAACCGAAATGCACAACCCCATCGCTCTACCCAGCAAAACAGAAACGAAACGAAAATCAAACTCACCACGGCCACGACTGTCAGACCATCATCATCACAACCGCCACTGATTCTGCCACTGCCACCAAACCTCACAGACCCAGTCCCCACATCACCACCACCTATCAAACCCAACCGACACCAACACCAACACCACCACCATGCCAATGGAATCAAAACCAAACACCCAATCGAACCCAATACACATCTCGCCACCTAGTAAAAAAGCAATCGGCACCTCCACCACCCGTACCCAATCAAAGCATCACCATCGCCATCACCACCCAATTAAGAGAGAGAGAGAGAGAGAGAGAG